TCTACAGAAAATATTTGTAGAAAAAAGTTGAAACGTTTTCAATAATGTTTTCTTCATTTCGGTATTATATTTCGAAATTACTCTTTCTGGGATTTGTTCATCAGCCGATTGGATGAAGCAAATATCCAGTGGCGGGGGCTATTTATAGACGCGATAGAAGATTCGGAGAAAGATCAGATGAAAAGTCGCATTGATTTATCGATCATTACATTCTTGTGAAAGTCATTTGTTAAAATGAAAGACTCCTCCAAGATGAACAAATTGGAGCTTGGTCCCCAGCCTTGTGTGATTTTGAAAGCGGGTTGGTGTATAGGCGGATTGAATTATTTGCCAGTGCAAAGACGTCACATCAAACAAACAAGACTGCACATCACATAATTCGGATAAATATTCTCTAAATATTGTGCCTGACACACACAAAATCGCCCTTTTCGAATTGAGTGGCTCGGGAAACAAAATTTTGCCTCGAAAAAACAACATTTTGGACGAAGAGCCTTTAGACATTTCATGAGTTCCAACCAATATCATCGTAGCGAGCTTCGATTCGGAATTTCGCACAGAATCAATACTATCGAGACTCGAGAGACACTCTCCACCGGTGACGCCTCGGAGGGCAATCTCCGGAAAGGAAGCCGACGCATTTGCCGGCTCTACTGGCTACCTGCGCTGTCAGGTTCGGAGATGGAAATTGGAACAATAATGAGGCGATTGGCGTGGAAAAAAAATCACCTGTGTTTTGTGCATACATTTAACATTTTAAATTTTGTTTTTATGTCCTTAAAATGTAGTAAAGGGGTCACTTAATTTCTCATTTTCATGGTAGGCCTATTTATTCATTAGCTATCAGCCCAGTTTATTACGTTACTCTTCACACTGTTTCTAGTGGTTGCAATCGGCTTACTGACAAATCAAACAAAAACACAGCACGATCAATACACCAGTTATTAGGCATGTCATATTGCGAACAGTTAGTTATGGGGGTGCTGTATTCATTAGATCAATCTCACAGTCACCATATCATTGACTGGGTCAACAATTCTAAGATAATAAATCTCTTGTGATGTTTGCAAACCGACGTTGGTACAATAAAAAGCAACGGATTTGGCATGTAGTTTTATCAGTTTGCCACTGGTTGGAGTTCACATCGAAACCAAATGGACAAATAATTGTGCAAGGAGACCGTTATATTCAGTCCACTCTTCCAAGAAACTCTGAGGATGTGAAGATGATCTTGATTCAAAGTGAACTGTACACCGAGGCATTTTACATTTCTTCGGTGAAAAGTGGATGCTGTTCTCATAGTTCCTTCGGTACAATTGTTAAGCTTAATAATCAGATAGTCGTCTTGTTTTGATTCTCGATGGCCGAGGTACCACGAGCAACCTGGGCCAAGGTACGGCGGGCGCGGTTCAGCCTTGGCAAGATGGGTGCCTTCCCGGCCATATCCCGGCGAGGTACGCCTGTCCTAGGCCTTATCGGACAGCAACTCTCGGACGCGGACCTACTGGCAGAGGATGGAGGCTTCTGCGAGTGTTTCCAGGTAAAGGATGTGTCAATTCGTTGTTGACGAGTAACAAAAGTGGATGCAATTGTTTTAAGTCGAGGGGCCTTGCACGGTACGTCTGCATGTGTCGTAGGAATTTCGGAATATGATTCCGTAAAACATAATTCGTGTTTAGCAATGGATTTCACAAATGGAGAGACGATGTCGGCCATTTTGATATCTTATTTCTACTATGGATGATCTTGGATACAAAACTCTGTGGTAGGAAGACCCACCACTCATCTACGAACAACACGGCGATCCTCGCAATAATCTATATCCTGTTAATCTCTCTAATACATGGCCTAATCTTCTCTAAGTGGAAGCAAGCATGGTCCAATTAAAAGACAGTTTGATTGCCTTTGATCCATCCATTCTTCCCACGGATCAGCACCTCTTGCAGGTGTTTCCAGCAAGTTCTCTCTCTTTTTTTAAAGTCAAATAGGGCCTATATCGTAGGTTTGCAAAATATCAAGTCTTGTATACTTAACAGTGTTCATTAGTAAATCATTTTTTTTTCTCCAAGAGCATCAGAGAAAGAATAAAGCACTTACATTAATTACATTAATCAACAAAGTGCTTTAGAATTAGGCCTACACACATGAAAAAAAAACCTCAATAATTCTGATCAACTTAGTCCGTATATGGTTCCGGTGTAGCGTGAATATCCGACTCCGTGAAATGTGGACTCATTGGTAGTGGTGCGCACGCGCGAGTACGATACTACGCTATTTTTAGGATCGTTTGGGGCGAGTGACCTGTCACGTGCGAGGGATTAACCAATAAAAGGGAAAAAGGGGTCCGATTTTCATAGGAGTCGGATTTTCATGAGACACCGTCCCGCACACGGCCAATGATGCACAACATGGTTAAAGGGAAAGCTCCTGTCTGTGTCAGTTCTATATTTTTTGAACCTCAGGGAACAAAATGGATTTATGTAATTGATGTACACCCTTAGTCTAAGTACAGTCAACAAAGCCGTAACTATATTGTTGCCAGGCATCATGCCTGAGTGAGATTACGCCTGCGAGTTGTGCATCAGCTATCTCTATTGTTCAATTTTAACTATTTACCCTAATGTCAGCAAATAGTGGCATAGTGGCTTGGAAATGATAAGAAACCTTGTCATGTATACATGCAGTTGTTCAATGGCAGTGTACAATTCCACTGTACACTGCTCAGAATACTGGCAACGATTTCTATTGTCCCACTGCAAAAATGCAGTGAGAAAATAAAGTCAGAATTGAATTACACTTCTATAGGGCGGATTACATGCATTTTACAATTAAAAAGATTTCAAAATTAAGTCACCTTATAAATGTATAAATGTGAAACAAATTAAAAGTGGTCAGTACACAAATCTGCTGCTTCTTAACCATTCAACAATTTTGCTATATTGAACAATTCCCAGGTTAAGGTACATCCTCAACCATTTTGGCAGTTGCATAGCATGCCACTTCATGTACTTGTGATCAATCGATAGTCAACACTGCAAGGGTTTTCCCAGAATGCCAATCACATTAATAATATTGCAGTCACCGTTCAACGTTTACATGTATATTGCCTAAATGACTTGACTGTTTGTTATGCACTCTGTTCATCATGTTTTAATGAGACTATGAGAGGCAATTAGTACTCCGCAGTGAAATCTGATTAACCTTCTGCTAGCTGTTGCTGGGAATTAATCATTTCCAACAAGTTACAATTTTCATTTATATGCATGTTTTATAAAATTGGTAGTTTATGGAAAAACGTAAATATTTACAGACGAAGAAGTAAAGAATGGAGTATTATTCAGATTGCAATTTCTATTTTTTGTTTATTTATATCAAACTACCGGGAGTCGTTCACATTTAAAATGAATGTTAATCAGCACCCCAAAAAAATTGGCGAAATAATTTTTCCGACCTATTGACGCTTTTTTGAAAGGCATGTAATCGGAAGCAAAAGGATTTTTTTCTTCACCTTAATTTCTAATTTTTAATCTTTAATTACAAAAATAGGGGCCTACAAGATCTTCTCTCAAAAATGTTCGGGGCCCTTAAAAAGCGGGCCCCAAACCCCACGCCATGGCTTCACAGGTTGTTGAATCACAGCAAAACTTCCCCACCAGGTTTGAAAAAATCCTGGGGAGAACCCTGGGACGGTACGAATTAATTTGGAATGAATTGTATCGATTGAGTATCTTGAATGCTTGAATAATGTTTTTATACAAATATTTTGCGAAAGAACACGCATGAGCCTGCAGAACTGAAATAAAATAAAAAATTACAAAATAAAATTATTTCCCTACCTACCTATCTGGATTTTTTTCAGACCGTTACCGTAAACACACCATTTTTTTTGTTTGGCCAAATCTGAATCTTTGTCCAAAATCCATTGAAATCCTATGAGGTTATAAAAGCGTGGAGAAAGTTCCGGCTTGATGCTCCATATATTCTTTTCACGTCAAGTGATTTTGTTTTTATCAACTTACCAAAGCTGTGGCAATGTAAAGGTGACTGGAGCTCTGCAGCATGAAACAGCCGTCCAAGTTGGGCCGAAATCAAAAATGGCGGCATTCACGACGTCGAAAGTTCGGTCGAGTTTTTGAACGTTGACAACTCATCCATAGTCCACTTCAGGTTTTTCACCACTTGTGTGCGAAGGACATGTTTGTTGGCAAAACTGCTCGTGGAATGAATTGAAACTCAACAGAACTGCTCCATGCTAAAATGACTGCTTTGGTTTCAAGTAAACGACACAACGTCAATGTCTTGAATGTAAACAAATCCAACGATAGCATTTCCTCGGGAGAGTCTCTGCAAAACTTCAGCCAAAATGAGTAAGATGTGACACGCACTAACAACGAGAGATGTCTATAAACTTACGAGAATCCCTGTGAATGAAGAAGGCGAAGTTCTGATGTCGTAGTTGGCAAAAGTAACGAAGTCAACAACGAGCAAATTTCCAAGCACGTGCAAATTTCCAAAGTGTAAACATGTTAAAGATTAGACTGGCACCCTCGTACGAGAGAAATTGTCATTCGTGATACACACAATAGCGTCTGGTTTCTAGACTTATTGACGCTAATGCTTATTATTACTTGATGCACATGCGCAATCAACTTATCACTAGGTTGTATTTTATCAGAGCGGTTTCTATCACTGTATTTTCCTCGCATTATTTTCGAAGTGTGAAGCAACACAATTTAAAAACGTAAATGTTTAACATTTATTTGTGGACGGATTCCAGTTTTTCAAAGGAAAACAAAACTGGAGATAACCACCACAATACTTGTGGATTTTTCTAGATCTTGGCGTGGCAGATATTTGACGGCAAATTAAAAGTTGTTGAAAAGTGTTTCTATCACCTTTGTTTTTAGAAACTCACCGAAACATTTCACTTTTTGGTTTTTGTTGGTTTGTTTATTTACCAAACAATTTTATTAATTTTTGGTCATTTTTGTCTGTTACAGGCTCGTCAGAGGTTTGCTCACGCCATCAAAATGGTGATAATCCTGCTCCGTATACATTCCATGGTCTTCCAAAAGTAAGTCTGCAAAGTTGCATCACGACATCAATAAATCTTCCTTCAAACACGGTGTCTTTGACTTGACAAACTCATAAATATCACCGCAATCAGCTAAATGGGAAGATAATGCGCGTTTCACCTGATAAGTTGTTTTTCACAATTTGTGAGGTCAGATGAGGAAGACCTAGCAGGTTAATGGGACGGAACGAGATCAGACGGTGATAAATACAGCCGACAATCCAAATCAACTAATTCTACGCAAGAGTCTTGTCATGAATTATCTCCCGTCCTTTTCTGGGATCACATTCCCACCAATTATTTTAATTTAAGAGCAGACAACTTCGGTGGGAATTTCCCGTCATTTATTTTCGTAGGAGATCAGAGTAGGCCTATAGGTGTAGTAAATGGGTACCTGGTAGGAAGAAATTCCTTCAATGCTTGAGCGCTGTAATGGCAGCCGTGCTAAAGCCAGGGTAATAATAGAGCGCCAGGAGCGTCACTTCGTGACGGACATGAGCGCTATACAAGAAGCCATTATTATTATTTTGTAAAAGTCTCTGTTGAAACTGATGGGATGAGTAAACATGAGGAGCAACAATTAAGTATTTTCTGCAAGCAACTGCTGCGAAACTTGAATTAGCTAAATATCACATCAGGTATCTTCAATTTATTTTTGAAAACATTTACGGAAACTGTTTTTGTGTTCTTTCCGCACAAAAAAACCTAGCATATATTTTGAAATTCCTGGGGATTTTTTTCCAGGTGGTGGGTGCATCGAATTGGCACATCTTCTAAAAAATACATACGACGAGCGGTCCATTTTCATTGCGATTTTACCAGGGAAAAAACTTCGAAAACAAAATACATTTTACGGGCTTTATATACGGTAACACTTCAGAACACTCGACAACAATGACATGCATGCAGGCGTGCCAGCCAATATTTTTCTCGCAATACATTTTGTCGTGACAAAACAAGCGTGCAAATGAAGTCATTGTCTGTCTTCCTGCGCAGTTATTCTGGGAGGCTGTCTCGCCACTCCGTCTTCATTTCCTGCCTTCGCGCCCATATTTGCTTTTCATTAAACTGAGCCTTGTTAACCAACATGTATGAGGATTCCAAATAAGAGTTCATTTGCATCACGAGTTGTCATCAATTCAACATGCCGCGTGAAAACTCGACCAAAATTTACCTTTAAAGGTCCTTGAAAAACCTGGTACTTTTTTGGCCACAAAAGAACTTCGACTGAATTTTAACAATAGAGGTCATTAATTTCAAAAGCACTTGAAAATGATAAAGAATCCTTCATAGCCGTCGTCATGGCGACCGCATAACAAGCGCGCCCTCGCTCCACTCGACTGGTTATCTGTCCTGATAATCATGACAAACGGTGGCGGCGTCAGGCTTTGAAGCATTTTCTGCTGAGCGCGTGATGAGATAAAGCGGGCGCGTTGGGCGTATCTGACGGGAGCCCATTGGTCATCCCCCTTCGGCCAAATATTGACTGACTAGTTGACCTTGGGTAAACAAGGGGTGGTCATTAATCTTGTGTACTGGGCTTGGGAACACACGGTGGGTAACCAGAAAATTAATACTTAATTTGAATTAAAATTAAGCAACAAATATCAAAACTAAAATTAATAATTATACAAACCAACACTTATTGCGCGATGTGTAAAAGATTTCCCCAAAAAGTGGTTCTGATAAATAAAACATATTTTCGTGATGGTCTCCGTTTTTTTTAATGTCCTTATTATTTCAGTTATAAAGATATCGGTTTCCTATAAGAAGATGTATGTTGTGTCGTTTGTATTTTCAAATAGAAAACGATTGCTAATCAATTTCAACGAGATAAATTACTTATGAAAGTATTTCATTTTGCTTCGGCTCTTCCAGGCGGCGCAAACACGAAAATAACAACAAGGAGTCCATGACCTTCACGGAAATTGCAGAGCAGTTTGAGTCTTCGGAGATGAAGAGCTCTGGACTCTCGTTTGACCCACGAGATTTCAAGGCAAAACGAGAGGTGAGAACGAGTTTATAACAAGGGTCCTTGGCGGGAAAGCAGCTAGATTAAACAAAAAGGACTCTAAACTTGCCTGAAAATTTACCATGACATTAAGTCCAAACAAAATCTACCAAGATTAACGTACACGTTAATATCTTTATATATCAGAGGAGATAGAAACTGCAATATTTCCCCATTGAAAGAAATATAATAAGTTGTTCGCTTGGAGACATTTTCCAATGAATAACCATTGGTATCTTTTGCTTGCTTTTGCATCCAGATCAATATAAGCAACGAGGCGAAAAACATATTGAACATGCCCAGCTGTAGCAGAACGACGGAGCAACTGCAAACCGTACGTAGCTTTTCTTCTCTTTCCAACAATTATTATTGTGTTTTCAAACATCACTTTATAAGAGAAGGTTATACATTGTATTCATACAAATTGCCGACAAGGACATCTATAAAAAGCAAGGGCATGCAATCATTTTTTTTCTGGCAGATTCTGTATTGGGGGCTGATGTCTAATAGTTGTAAATAAGCGGCTTTTTATCTTGCTGTCTCCAATAATTTCTCACAATTCATGCACATCCATGACATATCTATAAATGTTAAAGAGGAACTACATATTTTCCACTTTTCCTCAGTTAATATCTCCTAACAATAAGACTTGTTGCCGCAACTCTCTGTCACTGAGTAAATATTTGACCGATGCGGGTAATTCCTCCCGTAAACATCAGTCTCGTCTTGAGGCGGTACGCGCTTGTTAACAATTGGTAGATTGTTGACGGTCGGTATATAGCAACAAGCCGTCAAATACCGGGGAAAGTTATTAAAAACTCACAACCTGAAGGAATATTGACCAGTTTTCAATGTCTAGCCCAACGTTGCTGAAATACACATTTAGGTAATAAAATCTTCCCCAAATATCGTTAAATTTACTCCAACTATAACCGACTATTGGGCTAATTTCATACAATGTCACGTAGAATTGTTTTCCAAGACTTTGTTAAAGTGTAATAAAATCTTGCTCTGTAAATCTGTTGTTCTGTGTTTTCACATGTCTATCCAAAAAGCATACTTGACATTATTTTCAAATTCTGTACACGGTGATCACTGTGCAGCTATGTAATTTTTTGTTCAATTATGATTTTAATAAATTTAAGTTACTTTGATTATTATGTGTACTTCTTTCTATAGGCACTTTACGGCTTACAGACTATGAAGTCCTTCGCTGAATATCCTCTACACATGCAAGAGAAACTAGTCAAAGTCGCCTGGTTCGAATGGTAACTCATCATGTCACCATCATTTTCTATAGCAATCTTTCAACTGTCATATTTTTTAATGAAATTTGTATCGGTGCCTTTAATTAATCGAGTCAACTTCAACCTTTCATTTTCTTTCAGTGTTCCTCCCAAACGAGTGATCATTCGCCAGGGACACTACGCTGAAAACTTCTACTTTGTCATCTCAGGTTCAGGTGAGGAAAAATCTGACCAAATTTATAGTAAATTGACTGGATAAGTACACTGCCACAATCCTTACAACCAAATATTAACAAAGCGGTTCCCCTTTCTGGTTGGCTTGAAGATAAAAGAGGGGTAAATCTCTGAAAAGTTGCAAGTAGAACAATTCTAAGATAACATTTTCAGCAACTCTATAATGTTCAGCAATTTTTTTTACCCCCGTCCAGTGGTCGTAACCATCATGGAGACCAAGGCCGACACGGGCGAGCCTCACATCCGCACGGCAGCCGTCCTACGCAAGGGAAGCAGCTTCGGTGAGCTAGCTCTCCTACATCATTCCAAGCGGACTGCTACCGTGTCCAGCCAGGGGGAGGTACAACTGCTTGCCATCGGTAGGGAAGACTTCTTCGACATCTTCATGAGAGGGCAACAGCCGGGGGAGGAGCCTGAACATGTCAAGTACTTGAGGTGTGTACGACTTTAGTGCCTCTTGCCTTTTTCAGGAACCCCAGCTGGTGGTCAAAATAATGAGAGATCAAGCGGGCCCATTTCAAACTCTACAAACATATTGCAAAATAAAAAATTTGTCGGTAAAATAAACTACGGCAAATTTATTCTTGCTAATTTTAATCCATTTGATTGATTTTACTTTGCGCAGGCAACTCAGTTTCATGAAGCATTGGCCAGTGGAGCGGCTGATTGAGCATCCAGAGATGTGTCTCTTCCATTTCTACAAGTAAGTTTTTAGTTCAGCTATACGGCTTTCTTCCATGTCCCTTATATTGCAATCTTTACAATCTAATCCGCCATTTTACATCCTCAATGATTAAAGTAATTTTATTGATGAATCTGGGTTTTTTTCTGTCGCATAGACGTGGGCAAGTCATTGTCAAGGACAGCAATAAGTCGGATTGGATATACATCGTCAAATCGGTGAGTAAAACGGATGAACCTTTCGCCCCTGTCATAATCATATTAGCATAACAGAGACATCGGTTTGATAATACATATACATGCAGGCGTTGACGCCTTGATTAAACCATTGGGCCACAGCACTTAAGGCTTCGTGCATTTATGCACCTGCACACCAGGTAATTTCTCACTATTGTTAAATTACATTTTGTTTGATAATTTACTTTTGTACACTTGTATAGGGTTCATGTCAAGTCCTGAAGCAGCTGAATGCAGTCAAACCTACCCAGCCCCACCGAGCCAGCTCACTCAGTTCCATCAGACTACCCAAGCTACACGCAAGACACTTATCAGGTGAGTGGCCATACTTCATGTCATTTACCAAAGCATGGCTTTATCGCCAGCCTCGCCATTAAGCTCTAAATCCTTGATATAGAAGCCTGGTTCAAGGGAATCAGGCAGTATAGGTTCAGCTTCAAGAACATATAATGTGATTATGACACTAAAGGGTATAGAGAGTTTCCGAATGATTCTAAAACCGGTGATGTAGCCGAAGCCACAGACAGAGCCATGGTATGGTAAACCCCTCTTGATTTTAATGCTGATCACACAAACTTGACCATCAATACTTCTCCTTCAATCTTGACCTTTGTTCTTTGACCCTTTTCAGCGCCCGAGTTGCCCACGAAGCGACCGATGAGGACGCGGATACGTAACCACAGTGCCACGGCGTCTTACCTGCAGTTCATCACTGTACCAACAATGTCCTCGGTCAATGTGTCAACGGCCATGGACATGGACCACAACCTAGTAAGCTGAGATCATTTTGATGAGATTTGAATTACAACACTTGCCTTTTGATAGGCAGGTCGCTTATTCTGCATGAGAATATTATGTTTTTGTAAGGCATCTACAAATATAAAGTTACAGGTTTATAAATTTCGTGTTCAGTTAAAAGATTGATGTTGGAGAAAATGCTATTTTATTCACAATGTTCCGTACGATTGAATACTGTCTGCAATGAAACCACCATGGTTCCTCAAAATTGCAGAGACACTTTAGCTCAAAAGTCTGAAGAAAATCTGAATATGATGACAAAATGTTACGTTTGAGAGCTATAGATGGGAGTAAGAGACACCCAAGAATCATACTGATGAGAATTCCACGGAACAAAGCAATGGCATGGGACTGAAAACCGAATCCACATCTCGGCCTGAGTGGGTTTTCATTGCACCAACCTGACTCCCAAGTATCTTTCTGTAAAGGAAAGAGACGACTAATTGGTGTTGATCTAACTTTTGATATCCTAGTTAGAGAACGATCCGTTTGAAGGCACTCGATCTCTACCAGACACCTTCCTGACTCGCCAGAGGACCGCCATGGATTACAGGAGCGCGCCCTCAGAGTCCAACTTCAGCCAGGTCACTTTCGAGGACTCCTCTGTGATAAGTCTGCCAAGGATCAACGGTAGGCGGGGAGCCACGCCCTCCAGGGAGAGCTTCTCCAGGAGCAAGTTCAGGGAGATCGCCAGGAGGAACCCACAGCCTCCTGCTGAAAGAATGGTACGAGTCTTTGAAGATGGAAAAAGTCGTGGTATCTGGTGCAGAAAATGTGGAGCCTTGAGAGCCATGAGTCTTGGATTTAATAGTTTTATAATGCTGAAAACCTTTTCTCCATTTGTTTTCTCTCCTCCAGCCCTTCGCACCCCAAGTGACGGTAACAGACGATCACACAAGCAGCGACTCCTCCTCATCAACCGAGTCTCGAGGATCCGTCTTCGTCCAGATTGAACTCCTCCTTCCAAAAGATGTCTTTGTAAGTCCAAAGAAATAACTGACAATACCTAAAAGCGTGATTTTAAGGAGGGGTCCATGATACTGATTGATATTTGATACAGATACACAGTACATGTTCACGACATAATGCTGCAAGCAATTGAAAGAATATACACACCTTTCATAAATGCCAAATTCCACTAATTATTCTGTGAATATATATCATTCCAGTGATACTCATGTGTTATCTATCCAATTTTGTTCTTATACTTATAGGGTCTTTCAACTCTGGGTGTCGATCTGGGAATCGACCATGAACAGTCAAGTGTCAATCTGGTAAGTCTACCATCATCAATCCATAATATGCCATTGTCTCAAAAGTAATTGGGCCAACCTAATACCTTTCTAGTATACATCTTGTCAAACCGATCAATTTTAGTGAATTTGATGGGAAAGATTTGATTCGAAGATCTGAAATGACTGAACTTTTTTTGTCGATTCCCGACTCTTCAGGTGAGCAGGGGTGCCGAATGCATCATGATACAGAAGGACTTCTTCGCCAAGTATTGCACGGAGGAAGTCAAGCATCATATCCGCTCTCTCATCAAGCCTTACCCGCCTCCGGAGCTGCTCCAACACAATCTCCAGAACCACTCCAACTGGACCAACTACAAGCAAGAGGCTGTGGCTAGTATACTGAGAGACAGATCCAAGACTAAAGAGTTGAGACTCTAATAAAGGGGCACTAGTTACTCTGAACTGGACCCTATGTCATTGAGCTACTAAGTATCGCTTGGAAAGTTGAAGAGCCCGAAACGATCTGATATAAACCAGTCGCAAGCTGTATGCACACGGTGTGAAATATTGCCCAGTAACTCGAAGGCTGAAAAGTCGACTATGGTTTGATCAAGGAATATGACTGCACCATTTCTATGTTGCTGGATCCATCTCTGCCTAACAGAGTACAGATTAATAATAATGATGGAATGTTACACAATTTGACGACAAATTATGTATAACCAAATGACAATCGAAAGGCCGAAGTTCGGTTGCATAGAACACACTACACAGTGTGTTCTGCAACTTCTCACTTTTAGCTCAATCCGAAAGAAAAAAAAAACGAAGTTGAGTTATATAGTTTGTCACGGCTATGTTTTATTTGATTTTAAATCTAGATTATTATAAAAAGTGCAATATGTAATAAAGATTTTACAAATGCAACTCTTACATATAAATGTAATATATATATACTATTTTCACATTAAAATAACAATTCAGCTGAGTTGTGCGTGATAGATTCTAAATAACTGAGTTGTCCTTAAATACATCGTCCCTTTCCAAAGTCCCTTCTAATAGACTTCCTGCAGCCAGAGATATATATACATCAAATAACACTCACTTCAAAATCAGTGGCCAGTAAACATTCAAAACCCAAACAAAGTTTTAAATCTCATTTTAAGGTAATGCTCAAGTTTTTTGCAGCACTCTAATATGAAATCCTAGTTGCTCTTCATATCATACAAACACCGATGTTGACACTATTGTATACTGAAAGTAGGTGTTTACAAATTCTCTTGAAAAAGTATTGTTTCGTCCCTCTCTGAACTTTCTCCACCATACATTTTTTATTTTCTCACTGGCATATCCGGACCATTAGGTTTTCACGGTGGGTGTTCAAGGGTAGACTTTTGACCTGATGCTATCGCCTTGATGCTGATGATGCTATCTACTTACACAGAGAAGTGAGGCAGTGGTATCTTCTGGCCGTATTTATCAATCAGTCTCTGCATGGTGTGGCATTTGAACTCGTCCCAGTCTGTCTGTTCCTGCAACTTCTGCTGAAGCCTCGCCTCCGATGGGTACGGCCTCAACTGTGGACCAATCAGAGAGTTACTTTAAAATATGGCCGTTCAGACATAGCGCCCTCTGTTGAATGAGACTTCGGGTGAGATGTGTTCTTAAGCACACAATAAGCTTGATTTAAAACTATATTTACTTTTTATATATTTTCTGCTCTTCACTCCCTTAATTTTTTTCAAGTTATTGAAATACTAAAAGGATCAAGTTAGCTAGACCAATTATTGAGTCCAACGACTCTGCAAAAATAAATTAAGCGCTGCAACGGTAGGCCTAAACAAAAAATTATTGTGATAAAAAACACACAATTATTTGGACATACCGTTCGTCTGAGTGATTTCTTGTGATCTTCACTGAGGTGATGCAGAAAGAATCTCTTGGATACCAGAACGCACTCGGCTCCTTCAGATACCAGCGTGACGCTGGGGGCGCCCTCCGTCTCGCCGAACACGAGCGGATTTAAACCCTGTGAATTTAAAATAAGAACAAGTTTTGTTCGGTAACCAGGCCAAGCAATTGCTGTTGGTACCAAGTAAAAGTATCTTTGTGGTTGTTGGGCTTAAATAAACAATGGATGAATTATCTTGCTCTTGTCTCCCTTTTAAAAAGAAATCATAAAAGTTCTTTTTATAAAATTGAGAAAAAAAGTTAACTTACAAAGGTGTCTCGCTCCGTGAGTTTCTGAACCTGGATAAAGATAGCCTTCTCTCCAGACGGGGACGCACACTCCTGGGGCTCCAAGTGCAACTGATCTATCTTGTCTTCAATTAGACTGAGATGTACTTGCTGTGTGGAGATTATGACAAGAACGTCGACTTCGATAAACTGACTGATAAGTAAGACTAGTGAACAGTAAGTTTGCGCCTATGATGAAATCACTGTTATGCTCGTTAAAATAGAAATCGTATGAGCCTAACATTTGAACTGGCCTTCACAAACCCTTGGAAATGTCTTTACACGACTGGAAAAAAAGTAGATGGTAAAATAGACAATTGTCACTTGTACCGTTTAAAATTACATAACACAGATACATTTTACGTAAATAAAATTGAGAAAAAAAATCGGAACTTTACCACTTCGTTTGTGTAAGTTGTTGAAACTTCCTGTGCCAGTGGCGTCGAAAACACAGCCGGACCTGTGAAACAATTCATACATAATTACATGAATAAAATAATGACTGTAGTATTTATTAATGATTCATTATACAATTTCACAAAAAATAATCATACGATATTGACTCAAAAGAATCAAGTATGTTAATGATACCATGAAGCTTAAGATAAGAAAGCATTGAGCTTACTCGTTGTCTGTGCGTGTTGTCTAATGTTTGGTAGTCTGGTGTGCTTGGTGGACTGGCTAGACTCCTTACGGGATCCGGCGTATCTTTCTGGTGATGAAACAAAGCATTTACATTTACATTTACTTTGTTTATCGGGACAGACAGTAAAACCAAGACAAAAAATTAAAGGACAACAACAGAAAACAAAAAGAACTTAACAGCTCCCGAAGGATTGCCCCCAACAAAAGTCTCTGTCGAGGGGCTCTCCTGACTGAAGGGTTCACAAACATTTTTTATTAAATGTCGATCGTCTCTCTGTGTTAAGACATTATAACAGAAAGAGAAAATGGACAATTTTTATTGTTTAAATTTTTGAGAAAGGTTGAGATTCCATGTAAATGTCCTTACTCCTGTGGCATCAAAATGTCTACAAAAAAACTGACACATTCACATACAACAACATATGTATTATCTCGGGACATTCTTTTAACAGATGGTAACTAGTAACTACTCAATTGTTGTCAACAATACGATAAGTGATTTCGTACGTGGATCATTTTACTAAAATCGTCCTATCTACTAAAATCTTGTCCTTATTATAAAGATCATTTAGGGACAAACGTAAAATACCTTTAGCGCTATGTTGTTTATCCGGAGTAGTTAATTCAAACATATTCATGAGATCGGCCCGAGCTTTGAACAATCGTTTGGGCGCCTTCAGTTTCTTGAGCACACGGCATGTACCCTGAAGATGAAGAATAAACATTGAAAGCATACAAGTAAATGTGAGAGCTCTGAATTAAGTTCAATAAGAGTAAGTATGGTCTAACAGCAGGTGAAAATCAAATTTGAGTGATGAATTACTGGAAAGTACTAACATATTTTGTGGTTCCACCCTATTACAAATGTTGTGCTTGGATTAACTTAACTAAGTGAGTCACAACTCCGACTTAGGACAAGAGCTGTGATTTACATCTTAAACAAATTTTGACCCGCTCCTGTTCACTTCTAACAAAGACATTCATTCAAAACACTTCCAATTACCTGAAGAACTACATTTTTAAATCGAGACCGACTCACCGTTTTCACAACATAGATCCAGTCAGACTTGTTACTATCTTTACATATCACCACGCCGCGCCGGAAGTAGGTAAACAAGCACACGCTGGGTTTATCGTGAGGTAGTCTGTGTACTGGCCATCCCTTCAATTCCTCTATAGTCCTGAGATAACGGATGAAGTCTGGTTCCACGCCTTCGCTACGATGCATGAAGATCTCCGTGAAATCCTACATTATTCATGAGAATAATAATAACCGACATTGTTTATTTTTTATTGTCTTCCCGTACTTATAAGCAACACAACTTTATAGATAAGCTTACATATTTTTCATATTTTCAAAAACCTATTCTAACCCGACTAAACTTGTATGAAATGCTCTTAGGTCGAGTCCCGTTAAAATGATGTAGAAATGGGAAAAATAAAATCGTGTGCACAATGCTGAGGAAATTGAAAAGCTGATTATTTTTTTTTAACGGGGTCGCCTACCTCTCTGCCTATTGAGAGAAGCTCAACCGTATCTTTGCAGAACACTGTTGCTTGTCTGGTAGAGTGATGCATAAGTGCCAATTCCTGTCAAACAAATCATAAATCTGTCATATTTGATCGGATATTTAAAAAGAAAAACGTGTCACTTTAAACAGTAGAACCATACATGATGCGAAAAAAGGGAGCATGACTAATGTCTCACCCCAAAGCTGTTCCCGCGTTTCAAAAACGCCACTGTCCGGACATTAGGCTCTGACGTCACTGGGTCAGGTGACGAGATAGTGACCACTGAGGTGCCAGATAGCATCAGGTAGAAACTCTCTGCCTTGTGACCCTGACGGATGATGATACGCTTGGCGTCGAAACTGAAAACAGATTGCACAATAAACGAGATATATGTATATCATAATACTGCGGATTCAGGCATATAAATATAGAAAATATAACTTTGGTAAACTGTCACAAAATTCACACGTAAGTGAGGATCAATGAGTATGAAGCAAACAAAAAAAATGTCACACTACAGTTTGAAAGATATTTCTTTTCAATAAAAAAAATGCTTAGAATTTGGAAGTCAGGACTACTTCTTATGGTTGTTCCCACATTTTACGTGTGAATCTATTTGACTGTTTGAATATTTTAGGCCTGCTAGCTACACGTACCTCTCGTACCAACCAACCATTGCGAGAGACTCCTGCATCTTAATCGGGAACTCACCGAAGGCCTGCACGGCATTCTTCAGAGCAACCAATGCCTAAAAGATATTACACAATCCCAATTTATTACCAAATGAAACGTAATATTACAAAGCCAGAAAAACAACTGAAGACAGATTATGAAACATGAAAAAAAAAACATTATAGGTAAAACTGAGGCACAGCAGATTAACGGGTTTAAAGAATAAAATGCAGACGAGTTCTGGTGATACGAACAATATAATAGGGAAAATGGGAAATTTAAAGTCACACTTTTCAAAGTGTCTTCTCTGGAGATTACTCAAATCATTTTAAATCAATCTATGATTATACAATAACAATGTTTTAATTCTCCAAATGTATAATGACATGTTTGGAATTATGCATCATCGTAACGATTTAATCAATGCAGCTTGTGTTTTCAAAATATTGCAATGCTATACAGTCATGACCTTGACTCCATCTAGCAAAGGTTATTTTTAGACTTTTTTCGTGTCAAGATTTGTTCCACGGCTCCACAAAGTCTGTCATTTCTTTTAAAAACAATGACACTAAAATAACTAGGTACAATGCGATTCACATACCAAAATGCTGGACACAAAGCATTGCGAAATATTACCTATACGCCTCACTCAGAAAAACGCGTGGATCGTAGCGAATGACCACACAGAGCGCAGACTTCAATTGCCATAATTGCCGTGTTATATGAAGATAAAAAATATCTTTTGTACAAGTAATCCTTTTAACGGCATTTCAGCCTGTGGCGTCAAGGGTCAAATTTAAGGAACAAAAGCATCATCAACAATGGGGTGTTGTGGTCCAGTGGTTACGGCGTTCTACTCGTGTGCCGTGGTACATGGGTTCCAATCCTGATGGGGAACATGGTGCTTGTGCTCTTGAGCAAGGCACTTAACTACGATTGCCTCTCTCCAACCAGTGTAGTAAATGGGTACCTGATAGGAAGAAATTCCTTCAATGTTTGAGCGCCGTTATGGCAGCCGTGGTAACGCCAGGGCAATATTGGAGCGCCAGGCGCTTCAATTGTGACGGACATTAGAGCTATACAAGAAGCCATTATTATTATTGTTATTAACAAAAACTGCTGGGCACCAGTAGCAAGCAGTAGGCCTATACATTGCATGCATTGCATGATGTTTTGATTGGTAACCTGTAACCTGTTATTTTGTTGGGCGCATGTTTTTCGTGGTTATTGCTAAGACTCCTCTGTTATAAGCACCGCGAATGTTTGAAAGAAAGAAATGCGATCTGTAAAAATCATCCGAATATTGGCGCGTGGTCACGTTAGCATTATCAAATTTAAATTGTATAAATTGTCATACTTAGTGGCAATAGTTTCGAGATATCTTTTGCTTACCAAATGCACCTCTTCAGCGGTGCGCTCGCTTGGGTACTTAGTGAGAATTCGCTTGACTTCTGTGCTTAGCTGGCCCTACAAGAAACACCATAAAAATGACCAGGTACCGGTAATTCATTAATAAAGCAACATTCATTTTCTACATTCATGAAGATTGTTTACATGGAAAATTGACTAAAATTCCTTACGAAGGAAACATGTCATTTTAGACTAGACGTACGCTTCTTTGAGTCCAAATAAAAAGGAAAAATAACATTTTTGATTGATCAGAATTTCACCTCTTTTTTGACCTTGAAGACAGCCGGATCAAAGACCAGGCCCGAGTTTTTAAGAGCTCCAGCCCCGTCCAGGTCATCCTGAAGCCCGCCTAAGGAACTCAGCTCCGGTCGGTGAGTATCACGACTGAGTCTATTCAAGCAAGGGGAGACAGGAAACGTAGTTGAATTGATCCCTTCAACAAGATGATGGTTTAACTTTATGGGAAAGAGTTTCACAACAGAGAAAAAAAATATTGAAAAAGAACTTATTAGCGTCGAAATTAAGGCCCTGGGCGGTTTTATTTTATTGCCAGGATTGAAAAGAACTTATTATCTTTATGTACGATAGCTTGGCCCTATGTGAGCCATAAAATGGTGGATTTGACGTGAATGATTGTGCTTGACATCTAAAGAAATAATTGGGTTTTTGATGATTTTTAAAGAATGGTTTAAAAATAATTTAGAACCTTATTATGCTCCTCGATACTCGCTGCAAAATTTGGAGCAATCTTGCGGCTCGGCGAAATCTCTTTAAAGGCTGGGGAAAAAATAAAAATAAAACACACTAGGTATTCTTCAAATAGAGTAACATTCACCAACCCTTCACATTCTCAAAACCACTCTGTTTGTATACAGCAGTGCGAATTTTCTGCAATGCTTACGCAAACGGTGTAAGTTACCATGGCAACACCAAACAACCGCCCCCACTAACAATTCATCCGTGCACTCTTTGGGGTGTAAAATTCAATACATGCAGTCAATCAGGTCGACCGTATGGTTTGGAATATCTCGATGTATATTTACTCAGGGTTTTTGTGAGGATCGATAAAAATAGTAAAAATCAAAATGAAATCGGCAAGCATGTCAAAAATTGTGAGTGGTCCTGCGGTAGTTTAGCAAGAAGCTGTATCCGAAAGCCAGCTTTGTGCAGTCAACTTAAATTCAACATAAAATGTAGGAATGAAGTTTAAATCTCATGCCAAGTCTCACGGCGTTCCCATTTCAAATTCCATTTTAAGCACTCTAAACCAAAGAAAGTTTTTTTTAAACAGTTTTTCAGTTGTAGGATTATTTGTAGATGATGTCTGGAAAACTATAAAATTATTTTCACAGAATTTTAACGGGGAAAACAATCTTTAAAATCGATCCAACATTTGACATTGTCTTTGAACATATAGAATGTCTTGATAATCAGTTTAGAAAAGGGGGAAACCCTTGTATCGTTGGACTTACTGTGATGACTTCCTCGAGGTTTTTGCTAGGTTTGCGAACGGGCGGTGACTTCTCCCGGAACAGGTAGCGGCCGAACGGTGGCTGCAGCCGAGTGGTCGGTGTGCCCCCGTCACGCGTGAGCAAGACCGGTGATGATGTCTGCGCGCCAACTCGCTTCCTCTTGCTGATCCTGAAAGTGGAAAAGGGTTATTTACCATAAGCCAAAAATAAATAAAACAAATCTCAAAATCTGCCTGAATTAGGCGATAGTGTCGGTACTCGAAACTTTTTAAATGGGTTGAAAACATAGAAATTGAAAGTGAGCAACAATTAGTGTTTTCCACACGGGCAAGAAACCTTCGTAAGATTCTTTCGTGTAAACAACCAAGAAGTCATCTGTCAATCTTTGTTCCTTGGTGTTGGAAAGATAATAACATTATCACGTAAAGTGTCCCTTTTTATCAATTCTGTGACTAAAAGTTACCGAAGGTGGTGGCGATGTTTGTGTACATATCTATCCATTTTAATAACCATCGGGTCTTGCGATGTCACTTGTACGATGTGTTTTTTAAATTCCGAATCCAAGAGCTGCTTGTTGGGTAGATCTCCTCATAAATTTGACAGAATATCCCTCCAGCTTACTTGATGAGTGTCCTCACGTGCTGCCACCGCTTGATGGCCCGCGAGCGACGAAGATTGGCGGGGACACACCGCGGAGAACCCTCCACCAATGTCACCGCTGCTCGGGTATCGACTGGCTCGGACATGACCTCAGATTCGGCACACGGCCAGCAAAAGAAAAGTTACAACGGCTCAGTTTTCAAGACGATGGAATCGTGATTGCATGCAGTGATGCGATTAAGTTGACTTCCAAGCACAGGAGCGATAAGACTTGTAAATCTACTAAGCTTAGCGAGACGGAAGTAATACTCTTGAACTTGAAGAGGGCTTCTGTGTAACTTCCCAGGAAACTCGCTGAAAAGCCGTGTTGCTCTGTGCAAGCTGCTGAAGAAGTACTCCGACTTTGACGACGAAGGTCAAGTTTATCCAAAGCTTACTGGCATTTACAGAACCTATGGCTTTTATAAAACAATGCCAACTCCACATATTCGAATGAGTACGAACTCAGTCGGAGCTCTTGCTGTAGGTCCCACACAACGCGCAAAGGGCAAGAGGTGGACCAAAGAGGGTCTCGTAAGGTGTTCAGAAAAATTTGGCAGCTGGGGCGACCGTAGCGGCTATATTTACAGAACTCAGTGATTTACTGCCAGAAATCACTTGGGATTGAGAAGAGTCATAACTTATAAGGACCACGCTGTATTTGCGTTGGTGTTGCCAGGGTAACACTTGACCCAGTATTTATAAGAGAAGGTTAAGTTGTTATTAGTTTGTGTGATATTGTGGAGTTCATTTTGCATAATTTTGTAACTTCCTTTGGGTTTGCAGAATAATGATAGCAATACCATCAAACAATTTAATATTGTATGGTAGGTATGTTTGAGCAAAAGTGTTGAATACAGAATATCTGATCATATGTCTTGAGCACGTGCACGACGTTAGTGATCCGTTTAAGCTCACACGGTATCGAATAAAAAAAGGTGTAGAAATGTGATCCGACCGTATCCCATGAAGATCCATGCAACGTTGACGATGCCAAAACAGGTGCGAATTACCTTTTTCCGAGTGATGTACTATTTCCCAAATTTATATAAAACCAATGTTCCACTTACACTCCGGGGAACGCGTTGCCACGACGACGGGCATAGGGAGATCAAGAACGTTCACCTTTGTAGACACACTCTGATGATCACGTGACAGGTACGAAATGAGTTACACCAGACCAGGAACTATAGTCCCACTCGGGTCTACGACATATGTGTTTCATCTTGTGTTTCATTTTGCTCGTAAAGATATTTAACGTAGGCCTATAATATGATTGTATACTGTAGCATTTGTACTTGCAATTGAGAATAATTGAAAAACTTTTATCGTGGGATGGGTCGTTTTCTGGAGCTACTTTAAGATTCAAAACCTTCCCCCAAATATTATACGCATTCTTGAGTCGACATTTCTCCTAAGCGACTTCTTAACAGTTTTCCATTCTTTAAGGCTGATTTACTAATTAAAACCTTTTAATTAGTGAACAGTTTAACCAAAATCGTAAGAACCGAGTTTAAACAGCCATCCAATGTATATATGTCAAAGCCAATTGGCAATATGCTGGTTGAGGATTAAGATACTCAACTACGAGCCTCTTTTATGATGAACCCGCGTAGTTTCTGACTTTAGCCAGGAGATGGCGTAAGGACATGAGTAACAAAATACAGGCCTAATTAAGGAATTTACATTAAGAAATCTTCGACAAAACTTTCAGATTGAAGTTGAAGCCCCGTCAGTTTAAAGACAGTCTTCACCTTCTCAATGATCAATTAGGTTGTCTCTGTTTTTGTGAATGGAAGGGAGGTTGCCACCCACTGTCCACCATTGCACAACACTGGCAGTGGATATGTCTAGATCGATCCTCTCTCAAAATAGCCACGGATGGGTAAAGCGGCTTAGAGGATTACGACAGCTTCTCTTTCACCTGCATTAATTGCTTGCTTCTGAAGATGACAATGGGCGTGTTTACCAATACATTTATAATTCAGCACATCGACAATGCAAACAGATAGGTGTGAATGATAGAGAGATCAGGGGTCTACAGGTTTTACCTTACAGATCGTGTAAGATGTCTGCAAGATCTGGAGTCACGGAGGCAGAATTTCGCCATTTTCGTCACGTCTTGAGTGTGCTTTTCGTCGAGGAGGTGGCTTACATCGTAAACATGTCGCAAAGCATCTCAGCACAACTTCGGATATAAGACTTCGAGGAGACCCGGGAGATGCTCAACTTACTGCTGTCAGCACATCACCAAGATCGTCTAGCATCAGTATCCGTGTTCTCAATCGGGATGACGGTTTCCAGACACAGACAATCAATGATTCCGAAATTAGCATACTTCAAGGACTTTAATTACTGGTTTGGCCAACTCGTCTCATCACAGGAACCGATTACATCATTAATAAAGCGACACTAGTGCTTGTAATTGTCCTAATCTTTGGGAGTTGAGACCTAAAAGATTTTGTAATCTGTCTCATTAATGTCCCGTCACTACAAGAGATTTAAAAATGGGACAGTCTACCTGCTGGATGAAATCAGAAAATTTGCTCCAAGGTTTATTTTGACACCCATCTCATGAGGAGATACTATATAGATGGTTATTCCGAAGTAGCTTCCGAGGCTTCAACATTATTGAGTGTATTCTACGCCGGTTTGAAAATGCATCTCACCAAATGATAAAACTACAACCCCCTTCTAAGCGCTTGTGTCTGCAAAACGTGAACTCACAGTGAAAATTTGAAGCTACTTTGTTTTACTTAAAAGTAGCTTCACCTGTGATGAACTCAATGGCCCACAGGTCTCGATCTCAATCCCTCAGCGGGGCTTTGACCAGCGTCGCGAGCCAGAACAGTACCGGTCAAAGGCCCGGGGACGGGTCGCCTCAACGCACGCCGCCCGGCCGGGGCCTCGTACGCACCAACACTCTTGCATCGATCCGTGAAGATTCGAATAGCCGGAAAGATTTCGGGCGTCGACATAGCACCGTGCCGAGGTATGTAGGCCTAGGCTGTTATGCCTTTGAGGCACTTTGAGTTACTTTCCAGTTTCCAATCATACTTAACAAATTACTTTAGAAAATGCATGTGCTCTTCTCTTTCGACTTTCAGAAGGCTTTTTGTGTTGGATTCGAAACTTCAGTCACTGATTTTTACAAGTTTAGTCAAAAAAAGTCGGGTGCGTGTGCAGCACCTTTTTGAATTTTTAAACGATAAAAACAATTAAACAGTTTAAAAAAACATCTCTTAAAAAAAGTCGTGTGAAACGAAGACAAAATACTGTGAAGTGTCGATGTCTTGAAATCAGTAGAGGGCGCTATTCGAGAAAAGCAGTCTTAACAGAATAGATGACTTCTTGTGTAACTCATCACGGTTTTATCACCACCAACAGTTGGAAAATATGCTCTAAATAGTTTGTGAAGTTTCTGTTGTTGTTCCCGAAACATCCAATCTTATCGTAAAACCAATTTTTCGTACTCTTTGACATTTTTATTGCCTTCTATTTGTTCGACTTTTTGTGCGAAGAACCCGTGAAGATCACCCATTGGTTCAATAAGGTCACTGTGAACAAACGGGCCGTATAATTCCTTAGAAGAAAACAACAGATAAGTGTCGTAAAAAGCGACCTTTACACAGCATATACGATAGTTGAATCACGTTCAACTGTACTGTTGTGTTGCCAAAGTCAAGTCCTTGAGACTTGGCATTGATTCTCAAGCGCCGTGCGTTGGCACGCATCTCCGGGTCAATGAAACCACAACGGAATGACGACCTAACAACCCTTCAAGGATACCGCAAGAAATGACACAAGGGTGAACAACTTAACAAAGACCGCAGGCAATTTCTGGAAAATCACATTCTGGATATTTTCGAGAGAAGACTGAACTTGAAGAGGACCGATTCTGGAGTTCCGTGGTGAAAATGGCTACAGTTCGGAAACAGCCGAAGTATTTGAACAACAGGTAGGGTGTCGAGTTAATTTTGATTGATTTGTTGTTCGTAATCATCTGGTCAAGTTTTGATGATAGGATTTCGTGGCTGATTGGTCGCGTATTGTCCAAAATAGTGTCCAAAATGCCAATGCTTTGTCTGCCGTGACACACTCGGTTTCGTGGAAGTAGTACTATAGTGTGTTTTGCATGTACGCCTACGCGTATCCGAAGGGAATCTGGCAGTCGATCAGTGAGTATGTTGGTAAAAAGTTGCTCCCGATCTACAAATTGTTATGTCTTTCTGTGCGATTGCCGAGCCAAGATGAAATAAAAATGGCGATCTACTCCAGCTGATTGCTTCCAATCATCCGATTCATTTTCTCCGAAGTGTGGTCGTATAGTGAAGACAAGATACGCGACAATTTACAGGGTTCGACTTTAGCGGTAGCCCGCTTGCCAAATGCTAGTCAAAACAGCGGCGGGCTAGTCAAACATTATTGGGCTATGGCAAAGATGAAAGGACAGGAAGAAATATATCATCAAATTCAGGAAGCCACAATGTATCAATTTGTGTCTAATTTTATTAACTGTTTAGTGTTAAATTATAAACATGATTAAGGTCGAACACTGCAATTAAGCATGACCAAGAATTTACCCAAAGAAACCATGATGGCGATAAATGAGAATTTCATGGAATAAATATTGAACAAGGTTTTAAGTGTTCAGAGTGTTAAGGGTTGCGCGCTGGTGTTCAGATTACTTTGGCATGAACTTGACTGAGAATTTGTCAGTCCATCGCCCGTATACCCCGGGGTTATTGCCGGTACCCATTCACACTCCTGTATAGAGAGAGAGGCAAGTTGGTATATCGTGCCTATAAGGATACATGACCATCTTGTTTCAAACCCTTCCCCCTCTGATCACGAGTCACTCCCCAAACCTTACCTTTTTGAATGACAACCTCCGCCTCGATGTCTGGTTCCTCTCGGTGACTGATCTTCATTGGCGAAGTTGCTTCCCTCCCCGAGTTGGCCGAGTCGGAAGCAGAGATCCGTGAATCCTTCACCGGCCCAGAGACCCTCCGCTGTAGCCGGCGGACGCTCCGGTCTCGCTGACCGGCCACGGTGTGTTCGGCCCGGCAAGACCGTGGTGTGTTCTCGTCTGATGTTAGAGTTGTTGGAATCTTTGGAGGACATTCTCTCATCGGTGGCTGTCAAAGCTCTTCATCCAGGTTATTCCGATCTTCTGTTTGAATTCTGTTTGAATCATAATGTACGATTGGGTTCAGCTAAACAAAGCTTGAAAAGTCTGTCATCTATAGCATGCATGCTCTACAACTGGGAAAAAGTTATACTATTAAGTTCCTTGTCTACAGGAGATCCACTGATATAATGTTTCTCAAATGAGAAGCACGGCAATGTATTAACTGACAGTCATCTATTCACTGCCGGTTCTGTGCCACAGATTTTATGTAGAATCCACAAGCGTATAGGAAATTACGTCAGGGATGGCTGAAGTCTGTGTTGTACAGTCAGAGAGCCATAGCGATTATTTACATTTCCCCCTAAACCAAGGCAACACCGCGACACAACACCGAGATGTCTTTTAACAACTTTCACCTTTGATGCCGCCTTGCAGTTGCGGTATAAGTTATCACGAATGCAGTCCAGATATTACATATATCAGTTTACATCGTAAAACTCTGGGGCAAGCGACAGACGTGATATGTTCTTTCTTTTTCGTTCAAGGGCGTTGCAGGTTGTACGTGCAAATGAGAATGATTGATCAGTTAATCAATTCGGCTAAAAATATTAACTAGATGGCTTTTACTCGATTTTGCAACAATTATGGCCCAGCCTTTCACTGTTGGTGCTCTAAATTCAGGCGAACTAATTAAACCGTCACTTTTGCTTTGACAACGCGAACTTTTCGTCCGAGGTCCGGGAGAAAATTCTCCCACGCTTCACCGCCATGGTAACCCCTGTGTCGTTCTGACGTTTCAAAACTCTCTGAACCATTTTTTTCTTTCTCTTGTCACGATTTTATGACAATATGCCTACGTGAGTCAAACAATGGCGCCCGGCCTCTTGCGTATTTCCGGCACACGAAATGGAGGTAAACACCGTTTTGAAATCCAGTGAAGCGTTGTCTTTTTGCAAAAAAGTTGAGTCCATAATAGATGACAATACATAGTTCTCATTCACTAAGACCGGTTTGAAAGGACCTGATATCGTATAATGCCAATGAATATGAATGATGACGTTCTCACGAGAGTCCAAGAGTCACAGACCACTGGTCAAATAAGTATAAGGATTGTGTTATGGTGAAAGAAGTCAGATTCATAAATCAAATAAAAGTCAAAGTTATTAATTTCTATTTTACAAACGGATCAGTCCTTTTCATTAGATTATCAAATAAGCCAGGGTGTCAATATAGGGCTACATCTCAAAGCAACTCAGTTGTGGCGCCCATGCACCTTTACATGTTCACCAACTGCCCAGAACAAACTGTCATATTCTTTCAATCGACTGAAAGTTCCGTCCACTTTTCCCTTCAATCACTTAATTGAGTCGAGGTCTGGGTCTAGCACCTCATCGACCCAGTAGAAAGCTTTCCAAAGTTGCCTGTTGCGGAGTGCCCCTTCCCCATCGCAACATAGTCCAAGAAATTTCCCCTGCAGGGATCTTCTTTAGATTTTCCTTTCTTCCAAGCACCTATCAGATCGATTTGAACGGCTTGCACAAAGCAAACTTTGCCTCCAAACATTAGCATATCGAATCCAGAAGAATAGAGCAATGAAACATTGAGTATTTGGAGACAACTAAGCCGCTCTAAGATCAATATTTTGAACAAATTGTGTACTGACTTCGCGGGAGCCCAATATCCTAGGAACAGTTAGATGCACATCATGTCCGCTGGGACGTCGACATTTGAGTGAGGAGTGGTGGTCTTACGTTCAAGTTTGTGTGTTCATTCTTCACTGAACTATAAATTATGCTCATTTTTCAAGACATCCCATCTCAGTCTTAAGATGGAGGATAAACAAACAGCACACGATCGACTCCGAAACAGGTAATCTCGTCTAGACATTCATTTGCAAAGGAATTTCCTTGAGAAGAGATGGGCACATGCGAAGAGCCGGTTTAACGACAGCGTTGTTTTACCACTAAAGACTTTACTTGTCTATTATTTCCTCAATTGTAGTACAAAATTGGTGTACGACCTGATTATCTTTTCTGATAACTGGATAAGCATCAGACAACTGAGTGAAAAATTATACTATCGAAGTGCTGTCTTCAAGAAAACTGGCGACTTTAAAATACTTTGCAACAAAATTTACCACAGTAGGCATATATGGAGTTTTCAAACATTCTGGGAAACGTTTTGTTTATTTCTTTAAGTAATCGGGATGATCTCTCTTAAAGGTAATCTTTTGTTAGTCCATCAAGTCTAGAGCCTTGCAACTGTTATTTAGTAAGATAAATGCAGAATTTAAGTATAGTGTTGAAGTATAGATAATAATCTATCCAAAATGAAAACTGGATAAACTAAATTTAAGTTAATCACATAGGTCCACTGTTATTCTGAATGACTTCGTTAACTATACTCAACATAAGCACGACATAAGCAATGATGATGGCACATCGTTCACGTTGATTTGGCAGTAAATCTCCCATTGTGTGCTTTGTTGCCTTGGGTGTCCCATGGTGTCCTAAGCCTCTTTTGGATCCCGTGAAGGGGACACAAACGAGACTTTACCACAGGCGCTTTCATTAGAGGGAATTTAATTGTGTCTATACAGTTGTCGGTTTAGTTAGATCATGCGGAAACTTTGAAGGACTATCATCCTTTGTAGGGATCCTATAAATTTCTTTTGGGGCATAGGGGACTGTTGAGGGGAACACAACCTCTCTCTGCAAGTTGACCACATTACAAGATGAGGAACGTGCTGTAATGTTGGGTCAAACGGAGGGTCTGCTCTTGAAGTTTGGCAGAAGTTCTTCGATATTGGAAAATGAGATGATTTACAGTCAGTGCAGGCTTTTTTGGTGACCGTGGTGGTTCTGTGAAGCATGATGACCTCATCTGGAATACTCTGAAATTTACGGCAGGCGGGACATGTGACTGAGTGGTGTCTACGTACATGACGTATTGCACGTAACCAGCTGACTGATGATAGCAAGAATTTTACGGAATGTAACAGACTAAAATGAAGTGAGTTTATGATGCCACGGATACAACTTGTTTGTTACGATCATCACTGTTCCGTTTTCTTTGAAGAGAAGTGACAAGCATGGAAAGTATAACTCGACTAAAACATCGAGTAAACGCCTGTGGTTCTCAGAACCAGAGAATCACTTCATGTGGAACATCCGCAAGACGTTTCCCTGTGGACTATCGACAGGATCGAATCTAAAATATCGTCTGTAAATCTCACTTTCCCCCAATTTCCTCATTTTGTCACTGTTTGAAGTTGATGATTTGTGTGTGATGTACAGGAGGGTAGCGGTTGTGTCTCAGTATGACCGCAAGCACGGAGGCTCATCAGCGGGTAGTAGGCCGAGTCTGGGCAGGCGGAGGACTACGGCGCTGATCGAGGAGGAGCTACTCAAACCGGAGAAACCGGCCGGACCCACGGTGAGTCAAATAAATTTGGCCCATAGTCATAGAACTGGGGACATATTCTAACTAAAGAATAGAGCATGACCAAATCTTGCTCTGCAACTTGTCAAACAAGATGTTTTTTTGTTTAGAAGATAGGTTGCTCTCCAATCTTCAAAGGGGGGGGGGGTATCACCATGGAGGAAGAAATAGACTTGTATCACAGTACAACATTTTCCAGAAAGGCCTCTCCTTTTTGTTACTCAAAAACTATACTGACTGGAAGTAAGACTGAGAATGGTAAAAGAGTTATTTTACCTAGCAAAAATGAAAACAGACTGAGGGGTTATATTTTACGAACCAAACTTTTGAAGACTCAGTCATTACAGAAACAATTGTTTATGACGATTCTACATACTATTCATACAGGTTGAAGCAATGAATCTTGTTATAACTTTACAATATCATAGAAACAAATATTCATAAATTTAAATACATCTACCATGTTTTCTCTTAACAGCCGTACCAACGATTTAAATTGAAGGCCAATGCTGTTCGGTGGCTGTGCATGGCTTGCCTTAGCTACATGAGGTGAGTGTCTGTGACAAACCATTTTATAATGAAAAGATGATAATTAAGTACAATCAAAATCTGGAATCTCCAACTAAAACTTGGTGGTAAAGTTGGTACAGCACCAGCATGATGTTCAAGAGGTCACATGTTCAAACCCTGCTCCAGTCAATTTCTTCGTTCAATCTATCTGTATTTAAGTTAGTGTGTTATTACTGTGTTAACCACTTTAAGGCGCTTACCACTTTAAGGTTTGAAGGAATTCAACAAGGCTTTCAGATTTAAAGGGGCAAAGGAATAAATCCTTAGATTTTTTTTATCCATGTTTGCAAATGGTCTCTTAATCTTCTTTCATCCAATCCGATTACGGAGGAAGGACATCCTCTACCATCAAACGAGGCTTAAGAAGGGCCTCTTATCACAAGAAACAAAATGGGGATTCTCGGTTGGGAAGAGCCCGAGAAGATTTGACGATGATGATATAAAGATAAACAAAAACATATATGACAAGACAGTATTCTCTATCTACTCAGGATGACGAGTTAAATCCCGTTATTTCTGACATCTGTTGTATTCAACTTTGTCATTACAGACCTCATTATATATCTTCACATTATTTTTTTCCCTGATGTAAAATTCTATCTTTTACCCCCAGGGCTGCATCTGAGAAGGCCCTGAAAGGAAGTCTCTTGGAGGTGGTTCAGAACATAATGACTCAGGCAGAGGCAGAGGCTCGACGGACGGGGAACGATGGCTCGCTACCCCGTGGCATCATCAGCTCTGCCTACCCGGATATGACATTTGATGCTTCGGAGTTCCAACGATTCTCAAAGAGAGGGGTTGGTTTTCGAATTTTCGAAAAGTTCTAGTTCTTGTAAAATTTTTAATTCACAGGTAACTGTACGTTTTGTGGTTATTAATGCGAGACTCAGAAATTTGATTCACATTTGTCCAAAACTTTGCAGGAGGGAATCCCGAAGAGGATCAAGGATTTGCTGAGGGTGCCAGAAGAGGAAAGGACGCAGGATCAAATTGACAATGTAAGTAATAAAACAGTAATTGCCATTTTGAATTAATCATTCGTAAAAGAAAATCATTCTTGTGCATTTTTTTCAAGACTTGAAGCAGTTTTTGAGTGAGAAGAAACTGAGAAAGTTTTCTACCTCTTTTATTCTCTCTCAAATCACAGATTGTAAGGAGTATGCAGCACGTTGAGGAATTTGCCAAATATCCCCCTGAAGTTCAGAAGAAAATGTGCGAATATGCCTGGTATGATGAGTAAGTGAGAACATCTTTGTTTTCCCCCTAATGTTATTTCCAGAAATATTGAGAAGGGATTTATGGTTTGGCAGAGAAAAAGGCGTCTCACATCATGTTAGAGAAAATTATTGTTCTTCGAGTATCTAAAGAAACAATTAATGTTTTTATTATATTGCCACACACAAAGTTGCTGCATGAGCTTTACTCGCATTCAAAAGGAGTTTACGTATTTTGACCTGTGGCAAGTTAATTATTTAGTTTCGCTGCACCAACGTTTTCCACCAGTTGACTAAGATTTTAATTTGAGACAAATTTAAGGATATACCGTATAGGAAGAGTGTGTCATTGTCTGTGTTTCATATTAGATATGGACCCAACCGTTTAGTCATCAAAGAGGGGCAGGAGGCAGAAGGACTCTACATTATCCTGTCCGGAAACCGTAAGTTATGTAGAGAGTTTTTAAACTAATTTGTGGTTTCTTTAAAAGCTAGCTAAACAGGTTATCAACAAATTTAGGCTTCTATACACTTTTCCCAGAAGGGCTGTTATTTTCCATTTTGGGGGTCTGCTTTGTCAGTTTGACCATGGAGCAACAATAGCTCCATGGTTTGACAAAGATTGTGAACAGATGATGTGAAAATATGTGTGTTTTAATTTTAACAATTTGATTTTCAACAGTGACGGAAACCTTAGCTGGACAGACATATCTGTTGAAGAAGGGTGACAAGTTTGGAGTAAGTGGGCCTATTCCTTTTTCGTTGACACCATTTCCAACAGTTGAAAAATATAATTTCAATTGTCAGCTTCAACACCTTGTGCACAACTTTAGAAACTTGCAAGATTTTGTTTTAATCCAATGTATCTTCACTTTTTTTTAATGGTCTCTTTCACAAACTGTATCCCCTATGTAGGAGAATGACCTTATCCGAGGGAGTAAGAGGACCAGCTCAGTCATGACCAAGAACAAAGTGGAAATGTTCTGTCTGCACTCTGAGGTAACTCCCCCATCAACTGTTGCCCTCTCCCCCCCCCCCCCCCCCTCACCCAAGGTGACCAACTTGATCTTGGGATACATGGGGATTTTAGACTGCTGATATTGGGGGGTGTCTGATATTATGGTGGTACACAAATACATGTAATAGTCAATCACCAACATTTTTGGGTGGGTTATTTCTTGTTCCAAAAAGTACAAATTTGACATCAGATGTTCTTCCCTTGTCATTTTCTTTACATATTTTGAAGAATCTGTACTATAAAAAATAGATTGAAGTATTACCTAAGTTGGTATTTGGCATTTCCATAATCAACATAATTAACGACACTGGTATAATTAAAGAAGTTGTATCTAAATTTTAATTTCAGTATGTAAACAGTTTTTATTTACTATGCTTGCTAACAATTTCTTGGTTGGTTAAGTTGATTATTTGTTTTATCTTTCAAGGACTATGCTGAGGTCTTCGATACCAAATTAAACATCAAACCGGAGGACTGCATGGAATATCTCAGGTAGGTGTAAAATGACAAAAATTATTTCTTTTGTTTATTTTAAGCATTTGAAATCTTCTGTAAATGAAACCATTGGTTTCTCAAAAAAGTCTACAGCCACTGTAGACAAAAACTGAAGAAAACCTTAAGATGAAATGTTTAGTTTTAGACTTCCTTATGCAAATCTTGTAACTTCCACCACATTCTGGATCTGGACCAATACTACAAACAAACTCCCATTGTGGGATGTAGGGGCTGTAGGTGAACATTTTGGATATGATTTGTGAATCTAGCATTACTCACCTAAATATCTTATTAGTTTCTTGATGTTTCTCCCTCCTCTTGATGTTTAATGCAGCACTATTCCAGTCTTCCAGATGTGGGGAGGTCTCAGCAACCTCCTTGACTCCCCTGTCAACTGGGGCATACAGAACTATAGGTAAGATTCTTTTTCTTAGCTCCATAATAGCATAGAATAAGAACCCTACATCTTCTGAAAGTTATGGTTCTGTCCATCAGAGTAATCTTCTCCCATGACCAGTTCATGTGTTTGACAAAATGGAGTAATTAGGTTTGATGATTGAAATTTGTTGTATGCTTTTCTTTCCAGACCAGGCCAGGTGATTGTCCCCGACAGTAACACAAATGATTGGATATATGTTGTGAAGTCGGTAAGTAAAGCGGTTTATTTACTTTATAGTCAGGGTGAATTTTCTATTGGATAAGTTTTTGTCTGTTTCAAAGTCACAAGTTTTAAAAGTGTTATAATCTTTACCACAGAAAGCAAAGTAATTGATCATGGCTTTGCAAAAGCTGACCCTGCAGAATGGCTTCTGAGAACAGTTTTAAGTATTTGTTGGCTTTTTCTCAGGCAAACTCTTTCAGACCCTTTGAGATTTTTGTAAGTAAATTTCCCATCGAAAAAAAACCCCTCAAATGTAAATTTGATTTTGAGTACCCCCAAAACATGACAAATGTTTAAAAAAAAAAATCAAGAAAAACAAATTGATGGTCTATGTTCAGGGTACCTGTGATGTCCTGAAGCGTCTGGTTCCCGGAGTCTGTGCCATGGATCCCACTAGGAGAAACTACAAGGAATACAAGAAGGCACTGGGAGCTGTAGAGATGAGCAAGATACATCACAGCATGAGACCAGGGGCCAACACCAAGGTTATACCACAGATCAGGACGCCTCAGGATTCTGCCGGCTCACTCAAGGCTGGGAAAGGTAGCTAAATCAATCTAGACAGATCAGAGTAAAGTCACATCAAAAGAAAAATGTCAGTGTTGATACTGTACTGGCTTATAATTTGAGCCAGTTTTGCTGGATTATATTTTACTTCTATTAATTTTCGACTTTCTGCTTCAGTGTCATGGATAGAGACAAGCATTATAATTTTAGTTTCAACAAAAATGGCAACAATTGGGAATGTTTGGGACCCTTTGTCCCCCCCCCCCCACTCCGATCGGTCCCTAGGGAGCATGTGTGCATTTGAAAGGCAGAAATCTTTAACTCTAACCCCCTAGGGTGTGTGAAAAAATAAAATTCGAAGATTCAGGACTGTTGGGGTTGAGGTAGTTTACACATTTAATAACTTCAAAATATTAAGATATTTTAATATTGAAGAAACTTACCCAATCTTCCTTTGTTTGCACTGTCCTCTCATAGCAAAAACATTACAATGTTGTCAGCTTTCTCCTAACCTGTCCATTTCTGTCACTTAGTACCTGTCTTACATCCCTGTTAAACAACAAACTCCAAAAACCACATGCGCTCTGCTGTGCACTTTGTCTAAAATGGGATATATGAACCCAAATTAAACTACTATTTCTGTGTTCCTTTACAGCAACTTTCTTGACGACACCCAAACCACACAGTGCCGACAGCACTAGCTTCAAGCAGAGGCAGCCAATATCAGGCATCACAGACAGCGTCATGGAAAGAAGACACAACCTGAAACCCGGCATGTGGACGGAGGTAGGTCCAAGTTCAAACTAACATTAAGGAATATCAAACAATTTCGGGAGAAAATTGAAATAATTTGATTTTAAAAAGTGATATTTCCTGGAGTTTATCTCTAGGCCCTTTTTGTCCCCTCCCCTCCAGTTAAATATCATCTTTTAGTCTTCCACAAATAATCTCAACTGTCTGTAGAATGCGACATTCTCTTTAACTGTCTTTAGAATCTGTGTGTTCTCTCTTTTTTTTGTGGAGACACCACAAGACATGCATGCGGCAACCAGAGTTGCTAGTACAGTATGGAGTTTGCAATGTGTACTCAAACTTGCGAAATTTGTGCAGAGTGTTGTACTTCTGTGTTACAGTCTTTTATTTCTTAATCATTGGAATTTCTGGAGTTCACAACTTCCAGTAGAGAGTAGAATAGATTTTCACTTGTAGTTTGTTCTATTTTGATAAACATAGACTAACTTGTAGTTCTTGTTTTTCTTCTCATTTTTCTATCCCTTCAACTCTTGTAGTCTCTGGACAAGGTACCAGTTAGTTTTCTTTCGATTTCTTTCAGCACTAACTTGTTTTGCATCACCCGGTTTGTGCATTCATTTGCATGATTCCACTTCATCAAATCATCCATCAGGCTTCACTCACTCATCATCAGTTCATGTGTTGTTTTTTTTGCGGGAATACAAGATATGCATGCAGCAACCAGAGTTACTAGTATGGAATTTCCAAAGTGTACTCAAACTTGCGAAGTTTGTGCAGAGTGTTATATTTCTGTGCTGCAGTCTTTTATTTCTCAATATTGGATCTCACACTGCATTGGTTTGTTGCATCTATGACTTCAGCGGGTAACTTCACAAAGTGTGCCACATCTTACCATCTACCACTACATTGCATGTGATGAGCAAAAGTTCTAACATGTTTTTTTTTTGCAGTACACCATACACATTTCTTTTATCAGTCATGTGCTGTTTGGAGAACCAGTTTAATCACTTTAAGAGTGTGCTCTGTACGTCTCAAAGGGAAAGCATGACACTCATTGTGTGGAGCAAATTTTAACCCACCATTTCTTCCTCATTATTGAGTACCATTTCTGTTGATTTGTAGAAGCCACGGAAGATGCTTGAGAGCAGTGGATTAAACGGCTGCATCAAGCGTGGTAGTGAGCTGGACATTCCGTACTGTGTGCGTGTTGCTGAGCTAGAGGGAGGAGATGTCTTTGTGAGTAGACTGTAGGATGTTCTATAAACATGGATTTGTGCTTATAGATGAGTATTAAAATCTGAATCTGCACATTTCACAAAGTTTATCTGTTTTAAACTGGGACTAGAATGGCCACAGGTTTTACAATTGGCACTGAATCACAACAGCTTAATATACTTTTCATTTATTCTTCAGTTAACAGAATCGCCTGATTTTTTTTATATTTATCTATTTATTTCATTTCAGGGGTTACTTTCAATCTTGCCCTCGTTTAAGGAAACAAGTGTGAGCCTGGTAAGTTTCCGGTGATTTTCCTACTTTTTAAATGTAAACAATTTCTTGAAACAGTTCTTAGACGCTTTTGTTTCTCCTTCAAGTGACAAACCTCCTGCAGGCGTGGTTAACTTATGTAGCTAGAAAAGTCTTGAATAGAATGACTTACCTATACATAGTGCTCTCATTTGCATTACAAAACTACACATAATAACCTTCAGTAATCCCTTGGGTAATTATTAAGTTTGACGTTCATTAAAATAACGAGATCTACTTCCTAACATTACAGCCAAACAAGCAGTCCTTCTGAAGGGTTTTTAAGTCCCTAAAAATTTAGGTTAAGATGTCTACCTGCAAACTGTTTTACATTTTAAAATGGGAATGTTGTGTAATTATCTAGGTGAGCCAGGGGGCTGAAGCCATCCGAATCAACAAGGCGTTCTTCCTCAAGTACACGGATGAGAGAGTATTCACACAGATTGAGATGAGGGTAAGTACCCCCAAACATGCTACGATGATAGAGACACATTGTATTCACGGCAAAGATGTTGTCTTTTTAACCACTGCACTTGAATAATTATTTTCACGCTTTTTGCATACAGCAAGCTGATATCAGCTCAACGTTAATGGTACACTCTTTTTAATTCTGTCCAACAAAGGAAATTAATTCCGTAGCCAATGATGTCATAAAAAAATTTTAAGCCACCAATTTTATAACATTAAGACGTACCATTCTTGTGAAATATCAAGAACGGTGATATATTTCTTGTGAAACTTCGAGATTGATGTAAATGGCCATACACAGGCAAAATACCCATTCAAAGGCCACAGTGAACTGTGTCATGTTCTTGTCTTACTACTGACAAGAAACAGAAATCATTATTAACATAATTACCAATTGCTGTACAAATATTTACAAACTTTTCATGCAATGGCTGAAGGGGCGAGGGAAACAGAATTCCCCAGCAGTTACATAACCAACTCTTTTATTTGAGGTTAACTCAAGAAGGGTGAAAACAATGTTTCCTCCTTGAATTTCAGTATGAGCCGTACCCAACCCAGGATGAGTGCTTGGATGACCTTGACGTGACCTCGCAGTGGGAACGATTCAAGGTAGTGGAGGTGGAGAAGACACTACACCGAATAGCCTCAGCACCAAGATGACCTCCGTGGAGTTAGTCGGGTGCAGTTTCACAAAGCTGCTTACAGTGTGACATACCATTTGATCCACACCAACACAGTTTGCTGAAATCCTCCTGTAATTGCTGTCTTACCATTAAAATTCACAGATAATTTTAAAGATTGTTTAGTCCATTAAGCTACCTTTCCATGATGACCTGTTTTCTGCCTTTTTTGAGTATGTTGCAAACTTAGTTCAGCACTTGATGCATACATACACCTTAATCAACAACAGACAACAAAATCTGAAGGTGCTTATGGAGAAAGTGCCTTCATTCTGAAAATAAACCATTCACTTTGCTGCTAAGTAGCAAAAGCCTGATAAAAATAACTTTATAAATATGTATTCAGACTTTTTAAAGCAATCTAGGTTAATTTCATTGAATCAAGCACAATATGCCAAATAATCTGATGATTTATGTAAAGTGAGGTTTTATTTATGAACTATTTACATACATATGTACAAATGAATTTTTGAGTACACTAATTAAGTTGTGAACAGCACTGAGTGAATCAGAATCCATAATATGTGTAAATTAAATATTTATTTAAACGGAAAGAAATTACAAAAGCATTTACATACAGTATTATGCAGCTTGCAATAGATTTTTTAATGCAGACACTTATTATGAGGCTGTTATGTAAAAAAAAAATGTGTAAATAAGAATTTGCAATATGTGTTAACTTAAAGTTGTATCAAAATATCAAAATATTCCAAAAAACCAAAGAGTATTAAATCATTTTGCACGAAAAGTTTACTTGTTTCCTCAGTTTTAATGAGTAGTTTGGACTGGCCTTTGAGACGCTTACATTTTCTTTTGAGGTTCACCATTTTAAATTTGAAAACTAGATGTTTTTCCAACTTTCGCTCGGGAGGTAACACACTGAAAATACAGTGTTTATAACGTCGAGGAAGGGCAAAAAACTGATTTGATTTACATCACCCCGACAAAAAATTTGATCTTATGAATAGTCGGAAATTTAACCAAATATTTTGAAGTGTGTGCATGCAAAGAGTTTGGCAAAAAAGACCATTTTTGTTTAAATGCAGCGCTGAAGTTAAGAAACTCAACAATTGCTGAATGTATCCTTTCCCTGCTATTCAATTCTGGTTTATTGCTGGAATTATTCCCGAAACATTTGGCTGGCGGTTATCTGCTACAAACCAGACAAAGAATTTGACTAGAATTTCCTTGACAAAAAATTGACAAGAAGGCCTTAGCTTTGGCAACTTTGTCACTTTTGTAAAGTTTGCAACATAACCCTCACCTTCTGATTTCTGGAGAAATTTGGCCAATAAGAAGATGGGGAAAGGAACATCACGTTGGGAACATGAAGATCTGTGTGATTGGGATAATCTGAAGTGTTGAGATGTCTGCCATGACAGCATCTGCTGAGGCGAAGGATGACGTCTCCAGCAGATTGACGCGTCGGAATGCAAAGATAGCTGCTGCTGCCACTGTAGTATAAAAAAAATAATACAATATAGCAAATTCGCAAGCTAGTGGTCTTTAACAGTTTCTTTCGGTAGAAGCCGCTCTTCTGAACAGCAGAGAGCAATTTTAATCAAGGAAAATGAGTTAATCAGCAGCTGAGTGACGCAAATTATGCCCAACAGCAAAGTGGGAATCCCTCATCCAACTATTGTCAAAAGTCATCATGAAACCTAGTCCGAAAATTTGGGACTCTCAATACTGTGTATGAGAGTCCCAAAACTTAAGGTACTGAAAACATGCAATACAAGAAAACAGACTGGCACATTAAACAACCAGTCCAACAACTCTTTAGTACTGCATCTATCAACTGTCAGCTGACTGTGCCAAAAGAAATATTTAGGATGTCGGGTACTAGGTCACTATTTCTACACATTTCTCCTTAGTCAGGCACCAGACTAGTGACAATGAATGAAGAAGTCAGTCTTGTCAAACAGTTGGACCATGGATGGACATGTACAAGTCTAGTCTTTAGCCTCATTTTGAAATCATTTGACTTCCCTCTCTTGTGCAAGCCACTGCCAAATATTGAAGAAAAGTCTCCTTTAAAAATTGAATTGAGTCTTCAAACTTGGTTGGTGAAATACTGAGGAACTTTTCTTTTACCCAGTAACAGTTTTGGAGAAATTTGCTGGTTAAAGAGTGAGTACAGTTGGCCTGGTCTTCTTTTGCATCGTTTTGAGCAGTCCAGGTCCCAGTCTGCATGAAACCTACCTCTGGCTCCCTGCACATAGCAATACTCTTCTGATATACGCTACTAAGATATGCTACTAAGCTATGGATTTTCATGAGAGAAAAAAAAAATCCAAAATTCTTCATACCAGCAAGAATCTGTTGAGAGCCATAGGCTAAGATGCGATCCCAGAGGAGTAGCAGCTGGTCACTGGCTAGGTAGCCTGAGAAGGCACGCATCAACCACTTGAAGGCTATCCTCAACCTAGGAGGAAGGGAAAAAAGAATCCAAGGTGCAATAAACGGTGAAGACATTTTTATAGAGGGTCCCTCAGCCTGGAAAAATGTTATAAGTACAGTTGGCTCAATGCTTTTTGAGAACTTGTGAAAAAAAGCAACCAAGATTAACTCAGGTGGGACTCAAAACTCACGACCTCCTACTCAGATGTCTCACCACTCAACGAACAAGCTTGCAGGAGTTGGCTGGAGGATCTGAATATGATACAGAAACGTGTAACAGTTTTAAACTGGGATTTCCCTTTTCTCAGCTTATTGTAAAGAACCTGATTCATTCTTATGTGTTTTTTCTAAACTAGCTGGAAGAATGTACACCAAACTTTTCACAATTGTTTGTGTGAGGATGCATCTTTTCTGGATTCCTGACCCATGATGCCTAAAAGGTATGCATCAGCAATGAATTCTGGTGAGACTTACGGCTGGGCACCAATCTCCCTGAGATGGTAGAAGAGCTGTGGTTGGTTGGCCTGGAGTAGACTCTCAAAGAGGATGCACAGAGACACGATACCCTGTCATTAAACAGAAAAACAAACAAACAGGACACATTAGGAGTCATCAAATACTACTTAGTTAAGATTTAGTATCAGGCTTTTTGCTTTGCGAATGTGATTCTAAGCACTGTATAACTTCTGGGCACAAAATCAAGAAGCTACTTCAGCCAAAGCTGGAGACAGAGCCATGCTTTCAGAAAAGGCCTAAACTCTACTCTCTGCTTCCTAATTCCATTTGTTTTTCTCCTTACCTCTGGGTGTGACGATATTGTGTGAAGTCTGAACAAGTGTCGCATGTACATCTCCCGGAATATGTAGTACAACTTGTAGGGGTCACCGTACACAAAGCACAAGGGGGCAACTTGTGTAAAGAAAAGAAGAAAAAAGAAAAGCTTTTTCATTCAGCTCAATCGTACAACAACTACGGGAGACCAAAATGAAGCCAAGATTAAAAAATTGTCATCTTGGTATATTAAAGGGTACACCCCAGTAAAGAGGCAAAAATCCATCCGCCAAGCTCATGAATAAAAGTTAGACATTCAAATTACTCTATAGTAGAGAGTTTTGAGAGCCATGGAATTGGGGGATTGAAGACATATAGCATTGCACCTCTGGTCTGGATTTAGGGCTTCCAATTCTGAGCATTTCGGATGCAATCGGGTCCGAAAGTGGCGCTATTTAGCCATGTTGTGGAGGGATTCCAGTTTGGGAAATAAAATTCGTTTTAGGGGTGGTCTTCTCTGGATGAGAATATCTCAAAAAGTCATTAGTCAACCCGCCAAAAATTGAACGGAAAATGAAGACGACATGTTATCATCATTTTTCTGTGCAGCCTGAACACCTGTGAGAGTTTTGAGTATTTTCAAAAGAATTTGGAAGTATGGGGAATTAATCACCGGTCTCTTTGGGAATTTATTTCCTTGGCTGCACCCCCAACATGTCATAAATGAATTTGTATAGCCCCCTCTAATGTCCATGATCATCCATAGAAAGAGATTGCACAACGTTATCTGCTCACGTGAAAATGAAGCTTCTGTGTTTACATGTTAGGGAACAAAGCTGGTGCATACGTTTGATCAAAAAAGGTCTCAGTCTGCCAATTCGGCAAAAAGGATACAAGCACGTACACCAAAGCTGTGATACTTGCCCCTGGGCTGTAAATATGAGCACGGCAAATTGGCAATAAACTGCAAATAAAAAATATCAGCTAAATTCGGTGGGAGGGAGGGAGTTAAGAACGGAAGTATCCGGGCGATTTGAGAAAAAAAGGGAAAAATCAATGCAGCGGGCAGGTGCCAAGATGGCTGTTACAAAATCCTCAGAGGCTTGTATCGCTGACGTGAACATAATAGGCGCGGCCGGCAGGACGGTCCGGCTATTATCTAGCTAACTAGATTTAACTCGTTAATACCACACCTAGCCAGCAAGCCCAGCTGTCTCCCACTATGCCTCTGGCTTATTTCCAGAATCCTCCACGGTATTGCCGAGACGCTGAGATTATGGCATTTCCACTTTTTTTTTTTTTTTAAATCGTGTCCTTTTTTTGGAAGATAGTATTACGAATTGTAATATAAACCTTTCTTTTGTACCTCTTCATAGGGTGGTTTTGGGGATCGATTTGAGGAAGAAATTGTCTGGAAACGATTCTTTTACTTGCCAATAAGAGGAATTTTCAGTTGTGTAGTTGAGTCCTTTTTTGAGTCCCCAAGTATACTGAAATGCAGCGTGGTACAAAACAAATGAAGCCTTCTGCATGGCTGTGTTCTCTAGGTACTTTTGATTAAGAATATAAATTAGTGCTTTGAAATGTAACTTGTATTCAACAAATTTTCAGTTTGACGCATTTTACAAATGGATTCAGACTTAGACTCTTGGCCAAATCCTATTGTTAATCATTCAACATCGTCAGTCCAGCTAATCCATTTCTGACTTACCATACATTGAGAATCCATGGAAAGGAATGATGCCATTGGGTGGGTAGATGACTGCGTACTCTTCCACGCCTAGCATTCCTGAAATCAGAAAGGAACAAAACAAATGATTGACAAGATAGCATCAATTGGAATGCTTATTGTGAATTACTTTGATAGGAGTTCCACTGATTGAACAATTTCTTACACATAATATGTAGGAATTCATTGCTTTTGCCCGTGTACAGCTGCAAGTTGCGGGTGAATAATGAATTACAATTGATGGGATCTGACATTGTTTTGTAAGCTGAGTTCAAATGATCCTATACAGTAGTTTGATAGAGGAACCGTACAAACATGTACTTTACTAAAAGATGCTCGTAAATAAATTGAGTTTGGATGTTTAGAAGCCTCTAATAAACTGTTGAGGCTGGGTTGATGACAATTATACGCGTAATGGTACCATTAAGGAGACACGTTATTGTAATTTCTTCGCACAATGGGAGACATCGGTCATTAGGGAGACATTTTCATGTCTCCCTAATGTCACAGCCGCCCTTTAGAGACACGTTATTGTACTTTCTTCGCACAATGGGAGACATCGGTCATTAGGGAGACATTTTCATGTCTCCCTAATGTCACAGCCGCCCTTTAGAGGCAAAATTTTACCGTCACAATTAGATTATATTTGTTGCTCGTGGTCTAATTAGTAAACATACCGAAATTCATGGAAAAAGGACAAGGGAATATTGGGTTAGAGCACATTTAAGTTTGAAAAATTTTGTGCACAAATCTATGGGGATGTCTCCCAAATGTCCAATCCAGGGTAAATATTATTATTATTATTATTATTTATCTCTGATAATGAAACCAAGGATTCCTCAAAAGCGCCCACATAGCTCGCAAGAAACCTGCAGAGAGAAGACAATGAGAAGAAATTACAGTTTAAGAGGTGGGAGGAAAACCCCAGAATATTATTCTGGGGAAAACCCACGGAATCAGGTAGGGACTGCAAACCCAATCCACATGTGGCCAGGGCGGGATTCGAACCCGGGTCACAACGGTGGAAGGCGATGAAAGAACCGCTGCGCCAACCTGACTCCCCTTGAAGCATGTTGAAGCAATTTTGCGTGACTTCTCTAATCTCACAACTGACATCACATTCAACAGCAAACTATTTCTCTTTCAATTTTTGTTAACATGATGAAAGACAAAGCTTTCCGAAATTAAATTTTCTGAGTTTAGAATCCATTCAAGTTTGTCGGTTACGGTAAACTGGTTCAAATGGTCATTGACCAGACGCTTATTGCTTCAACTTGGGCTTCGTTAATTTGGAAAGCCAATGGACACGGAATATTTCCCACTGCACTGACTTGTAATTCCACGATCAAGTGGGGATTTTCCCCCGCATTCTTCTCACGATCGATTGCTCCAGGGCTACTACGCTAAAGAGAATACAATTGGATATATAGTGCTTTTGGGTTCTGTTGGCAAAAACTACTAAGAGCCAAACTGTGTATGTTTTAGAGCAACACCTATGTCCAATTTATAGTTCTTTGTCAGTGGCGTAAAGCTGAGCCAGCGAGTGGGGGGGGGGGGGATGGGGATAACCAAAATCCAAAAATTGCCCGGCCGTGGAAATTTTAAGGGGCGGACAACACTAGGGGGCGCTCTTCAGGATATAGATGTATATCAACAAGTATACTCGCGCTTACACCAAAACGGCACATTTTAAAAGCATGAACAAGTGGGGGGGGGGGGATGATTCAATAGCCCATCCCCCCTAGTCAAAAAGTGGGGGGATATCGGTTTGTCGGTTAAGGTCAACTGGTTCAAATGGTCATTGACCAGACGCTTGTTGCTTCAACTTGGGCTTCGTTAATTTGGAAAGCCAATGGACACGGAATGATTTCCCACTGCACTGACTTGTAATCCCAGGATTAAGTGGGGATTTTCCCCCCGCATTCTTCTCACGATCGATTGCTCTGGGGCTACTACCCTAAAGAGAATACAATTGGCTATTTAGTGCTTTTGGGTTCTGTTGGCAAAAACTTCTAAGAGCCAAACTGTGGATGTTTTAGAGCGACTTATTTATAGTTCCTTGTCAGTGGCGTAAAGCTGTGACGGCGAGTGGGGGGGGGGGATGGGGATGACCAAAATCCAAAAATTGCCCGGCCGTGGAAATTTTAAGGGGCGGACAACACTAGGGGGCGCTCTTCAGGATATAGATGTATATCAATATGTATACTGGCGCTTACACCAAAACGGCACATTTTAGGCCAAAAAAAAAAATCTCCGGTTTCTGGTATGGAGCTTGCCCAAAAAGTGGTGCGGCGACGCGGCTATTTTTTTTTTTTTACCTGATTTTTTTGCTTCAGATGTCGGCTGATGGCTGCAAATGATGGACTATAGCTTTAAGCCAGATTAGGAGTCTGTGAAAACACCCTTAAGAAAGTCCTTTGTCTACCCATGGAGATAGACACAGTGTACCGTTGTGTATAACCAATGATAATCCTCAGTGGCCAGGGTCATTAAAAAAAATGTGAAAATACCCTTACAGGTATGTAAATGTCCGTGAAACATTTCTTAAAGATTCTTTTCACAGAGAAATGGACTTTTAATGAAAATTTAAGGGATCAGATGTTCATGGTATTAAAGGACTTGTGTTGGACTCGAGACCACATTCTGCGGGGCAATATTGCGGCAATATTGTCTTCTTAGCAATTGCATTATATTGTGCCATTTCGAAGTGAAGTCCTAACAAGTCAGGGGACAATTCACACTATATTCCTTTATTACTGTTCATGCCCTGTTGCTTGTGATTGACTGAATTGTGATTGACTTTTTGAGGGTCTTCCCAACAATTCTCAGCATCTTACCTCTGATGTAGGACTTGGCTGGAGTGGCTGAGCTATTGGAGAAGTGACTCAGGACCTTCGTGTCTCGAGAGAAGACCAGCAAGACTTGATACAGGAAGTCCTCAAAGACAAAATACTGGTCGTCGTTGGTTGCTGTCAACTTAACATCCTGGGTGCAAAGATCAACCCTCAAACTGTCAATTCAATATTCCATGTGGTATGCAGTACACTTCAAATCCTTTAATGTTCTCGCAGGACTATCACAGTGACACAGTGGATTTTTTTGTGATGTAAATTGAAAGGGTTTGATCATATCAGTTATGTGGAATTATTGTTTTTGGAACCACAAACCACTACACTCCGCACTCTGCTTGGTCTAAAAAAATTGTTCTCATTATGAGAAAAAATATGGAGAAGTATTACACTATGGCCTACAGTTCTTTTACTTTTGAAAATCCTAAAATTTCCCCTAAGGAGTTGAAGCGGCACTTTAAAACCCAGGAGTCTAGCAGGAACAATTGGCATGTTTGTTTTTACCACTGAGGTTTTTAAAACAGAATATTAAGAACTGTGTGGAAGTTTTTACAAAAATAAAGTCAATGGGAACAATGGAGGTTAAGATGACAAAGATTTAGGAGAACATTTCAAGTAATGCCAAAATATCCTGTGATGTATAACTTTAAAGTACAGGGTGACCCCAAAAAAGTTGTGCAAGCAGATATCGTTGAATTTCTCAAAACGTACCTAACATGAGTATTTCATCTTGATGGAGCATATTACTTATACTATTGTGTATAATCAGTGAAAATGCCACAGAAACCCATTCATGCAAACCAGAGCTGTAACAGATTGTTAAAGGATATGTGTTTTTCAAGCATTCCAATGGGAATTACACATTGCAATGTAAATCGCTCAACCGGCGCTCTGCAATAGGACTTTTCATTAACTGTGTAAATCACTTTGGAACGGATGAAAAACACATTGCCATTTATAATCTGTTGTATCTCTGTTTTGCATGAATGGATTTTCATCAAATTTTCAATGTAATTATACACAAGAGTACAAACAATATACTCCATCAACATGAAATGCTGATGTTGGATACTTTTTGAGAAATTTAAAGATGTCTGCTTGGTGCTTGCACAACTTTTTTGGGGGGGGGGGGGGGGGGTTTCACCCTGTATAGGCTTTGTGCTTTATTCCTCCAAGCACCTCTATGCTCCAAGCTATAATTGAAGGACATTCGGGCCCCATTTATTCCATACGCTCACACTCAAATGCATTTCTTTCAGCCATGATATTGCATATTCGATTAAACACGTGGTCGCACATGCTCTACCTCACACCCACGTGCAACAATGTCCTTCACTGCTCTCGTGGGTTAAATCTAGAATTCCACGGTTCTCAAAAACTGTGTAAATCATATCAATTAGTACAGCTCAATTTCATTCTACTGCCTCGTGGAATTTAGTCCCTGCCCTTTCCCTCATTACCTTGTACAGTAGACTATCCACCAGCAAGTCGTGCTGGAACACGTAGCTTCTCAGCTGCTCGTAATACAATTTATCCTGCACGGTGAAAAAAAAAAAAACAGGAACACAACCGTAATAACCCAATTTTTATCGTCGTGATCTGGTTTACACAAATCCTTTTACGAAATGCCACTTTTTCATCGGGTCACCTATTAAAAAAAAATTCTCCGAATAAAAACATAACGGTTACACAAATGCTCTGAAAGGTCGTAATACTGCGCACGTCAAACAGCTAGAACTGATGACAGCATGGAAGTATTTAATTTTCCCAACCACTTCGATACTCCTGCAGATTTGTCCTCCTTGATTCAAATCCCCCCCCCCTTCACCTTTTCTTTACATTTTTCTCTTATATATCTAGGACAATTGAGTCTGAGAAATAGTTTTTGAGGGCCCAGAAGCGTTGCCTTATCAGATCCTGATGGAAAGTGCGTGACGTCAACGGTCAATGCTCTTTGTGTTCTCACTGGGTCAACATCTTCCTCCTCCTCAAGAAAAAAAAAATTAACCTTGTCACTGAGTTGGTAGGATGACAGACTGAACTCAGGTCTGGGTCCTACGCTCGCTCGCGCTACTTGGAGACTTAGATAAATCAATGGTCTGAGGATAATTTGTCAACAACTGGGAGTTGCTGTGTGGAGCATTAGGGAAGCGCTTAGTGTTCACTGCCCATTGGGGGACCAGGGTTTCCGGAATTTTTTCTTGGCCCCGTCGCCAACGCGGAGTCTGCGCGGAAGTTTGCCGTGCCATTTATCCAGTATTAATCGATGAGGACTTCCTGGGTTTAACTGCGTTCATCATCCATGGATTCTTCTCTTTCCTCCTTGTCGAGGATAATGATAAAGACTGTTTGCTTTTCAAGAGGTCATGGAAATAAGGCTATAGATTTGTTTCAGTAATCTGATCATGAGTTATTGTTTTTGTGAATATATAAACATTCCTGAAATCAGTAGTCCCAAAACAGGAATTTGCAAAAAAAATTAGAGGCTTCAAACAAATTGTGAAATATAAGACAATCTGATATCAGAAAAATGTTGAAATTTACAAAAGTAAGAAAACATTGAATGCTGATATCTTCTAGCTGGTATCTAGTGAAACAGGGAGAAGTTGTCTCATGCACAACCTCTTTACCAAATCCTACAAATTGTCCGGTCTTCAGAAAAGAAAAAAAAGCTAACACAAAACAGCCAAACAGAAGGACAGACAAACACACAGACATTAGAATTCAAGTCAATTATCTAAGACAGACAGGCAAAACTATACATCATAAGATAGTGTACCAGCCACATACTGTATTAGAACAAGCAAAGCCTCTCAAGTCATATGTGCTGAATTTTTAAAAATTAAATTACGCTACACCCACACATACAGCCTCAGTAGCCAGTCTTGCAGCAGACACATATTTAATTCATTTTTCAAATTGTCAAGGTTGTCTGATAACATGCATGAATTTGAAATTGTCGCCGTGCACACTCTACATATTTCCCTGTGCCTAATACAATTATATCTAAAGGCTTAATGGCATCGTAATGATGTCATACAGCTTGAGCCAAGCATAGAGCTGTAAGGACCTACAATCCTGGCCAAATCTCGCTGGGCCCCCAACCCCCCAGTCCCCGCTCAATGTTGTCTCTCATTGTGCGGTGTGTGCTCCATCCGCTGGAGAGAACAACATTGACCGGGGGAGCGGGGGAGTTGGTGACCGTTGGAGGCTGAGGTTATTTCCAAGTGTCCCAACCATTTTGGCCGGGATTGTAGCTCAATGAGCCAACTCAACACTGTGTACAGGTACAGAGCAAAACTATGCGGCACGTGTGACTTATCACCTACGCTTGATTGGGCACGGTGAAGTGTATAAGGGCGTGCATCAGAACCGGTACCCGGGTACCCGACTGCTGATGTCAGGAACCGGTTACAGATTATGGGATTGGGTACCAGCAACCAACTTTTCATATTACTTAGTAACTTCTCAGACAATGACAAAGAAAGGTTTTGAATGTCATTTGTGGGAATTTTTAAAATGAAAACCCCATGAAAACCGGTCTACATGGGAAAACAGAGCATATTTCACTTTTATGACACTCGCGAAAGTTGCAGTTTACACCATAAAGCTATAAAGCTCACTGTAAAGTGTACACACTTAAGTATCTTGGTGTACTGATGTAGTATTACTACAGTAGTAGTATTATCGTGCAGACCTTTATGAACAATCTAAACAGCAACTTCCGAGATTTGAATTTTGGGGTTGGGTTTCTCTAACGGGTACCAGGGTACCTGTGTTTTTTTTCAATCGGGTACCGCTTCCCGCACTACCCCTAAATGCACACCCCTATGTATATTGTGTCATTTTTGTTTTTAAATACTTAAGTGTTTTGCGGTTTCAAGTATTTGTTTTAATACTTGAGGCTTCTGTACAGACTTTCTAGTAATTGGTACAATTTGGTACAGTTACCACCCTCTTAACCAGTTCATGTCGGATGACATGTATACACGCAAAGGTTTTGCGGTATTTGCAACGGATGACGGATAAACACGCAATAAGGGAGGCCGGAAATATCTGTCAGCGACTTGCTCGCAGCGAGCGAGGCTGGAAATATCAGGGTGTGCTACCCGCAGATGAGGGCCTGAACCCGTCTGGCACTGAGGTTTGCGAAAAACAATCCCGCGCCTGGGTCCGGTCAATGTCAAAATAATTGCAAACTGATTTAAAGGCTTTTGAAATTATAATAGTTGCTTGACATCATGACATTTCTACTGAAGTAACCTATTGGCTAGATCTCAAATATGTGTACACAGAAAACACAGCACTAATTTTTGAGGGTGTAAATATTCAAATTAAGTCTACCCCATGTCAAAGTTCATAAGGACAAGGATTCCCATATCTGAGTGAGATATTGAGGCAATATTTGGCCTAGTTACCCATGACCTTTAGGTGCATACCCATAACTAGAACATTCTCCTTCCTTCATATCACATACTCATCCCCATCTCGATTCCCCCAAACTTCAATAATCATTCCACATCCCGCAATGTCAGCTCCCTTCCGCAAAGCAACACTCGCAGCGACAACAAACTTAACCAAAGTGTCCTTCAGACAGCTACACTGCGGATTTAATTACGTTACGCGCTCCGCTGCTCGGGCCAGGCCCTGCTTTTCCCACTTAAGATGCTGACGAGTTTACTCAAGACATTTACACCTTGATTTTGCCGGTGGCATAATTTCGCTTTCTCTCTTGTCCCCATTTCATGCATTCCCATCCCTTGGCGACGGGGAACGACATTCATTGAGGTTGGCAAGCGCACAAAGAAAGCTTGGACTATTCTGTACCAAAGTCTCAAATTAGGGTTGCTACAAACACTGCAATGCTCTTAATGTCAGGTGTCAAAATTGACTAAGTGAAAAAAAAAAGTCATCAAAGTAAAATTCCCAAAACAATTGGGAAAATCCTCATGAGACAAGCAAAAGTACTGTGAAATTACAGTGTTGTTTTCTTATTGAAATCTCCTTGGAGCAGTTCCATTGAAGCTTTCAACACAATTACAATTGACATTTAACTCTAAATTAATTTTGAAGTTTGATTTAAATCTGGATCATTTCAGAATTTCTCTCTTCGACAACTACAAACTAAGTTTCTTTTTGTAAAGTTTATAATGAAACAGATGTTGTTATTACTATTTGCACGACATGTGTCTTGATTTTTTTCCTTCTTTTTTCCTTTATTTAAATACAAAGAACCAAAAATGAAATACAAAGAAAGTTGTAGAAAAACAAAACAAATACTTAAATACCACAAACAAATTTTAATTCACCAAACAAATTAATTCACAAACTCACTTTGGGAATGGTACTAGGGTAAACTTTTCATTCAGTAAATTCAAAGTACACTTTCTATAGTTTTCGACGGTGCGAACCCGCAAGCAGCTTATGTGCACTAAGCTGTCCCTAGAAAAAAAATTAAATTTGGATCGAAATCAACACTACCACAATCCTCCAGACTCCATTTGCACTTTTTAAAGAAAAGCCACAGAACAAAAAATAAGAACACTTTCAATAAAAATCTTGCACTTTCACCTACACAGTGGTCTTTCAGGACACAATTAGATTGAATTTCGTTTTCAGTTTTTTGCGCTAGGGTAGCAGTTGATACGCCGTGCAGCAAACACAAGATCATGGCTCAAGCAGGCCAACGTCCTACAGCGTAACAGCAAGCAGGGAATCGTCACTTCAGATACAAGTGTACATCACACAGAATTGATTAAGGCTCAGAGGTTGGGTATGACCAAAGCGATGCACGACTGTGATAATGGTCCGAAATCTCTAAATACATTGAAATGTTTTCTCAGTTTCTGCGATAACATAGAGCTCAAATCGGATGGGAAAGAAAAGGAAAGGGCCAAAACAACAATGGGAAAGAGAACTCGGAAGGTTGGATACGAAAAGCCAGTGAAAGCTTTTCCAAGGAATAAGTTATGGAAAGTTGATAGTGACATTTCCATAGAGATTTTTATCTCTATAATGTCAGAAAGTGTCTTGACCCCTTTTCTGCTTTTTGAATTTCAGATGGTCAACAAATTTAGAGATTTTTTTCTGAAAACTCATCCTCTTGAAAAGTTTCTCACAACGCCCCTAGACGTAGATAAAACAGCTGTGAAAGGGGAGCATTTCTTAAAATGGGAGGGCACATTCGTGTCTGTCAGGGGGATTGAAAAGTTAGATTATACATGTAAATACCCCCCTCACCCCCTTTATTTTGCCACGTAAGGTGGTACAGTGGTTGTGACCATCAAAGTTAAGGGGGGGGGGAGGAGTTGGGGGGGGGGGGGTGTTGGGTTGGTGTAATTTGTCAGTACACCTGGTTTTCTATTAACACAGATCTGAACATGCCAGACACGCGCATATAGATCAACCAATTCCTGTCACCTTGCGAAAGTAAAAATTTCTGACGAAACCAAAGTGAAGTGAGAATGTACCTGATTGATGAAATGCAGTTGTGATCGGCGTCACAACAAATGCACTCAACCCGCTATTGCCAACACGCCGAGGGGAACATTCGCCTGCAGTCATCAAGAATTCAACC